CGCCGTGGAGACAAATCCCACTTATGCATCTCAGCTTTGTCTAGACAAACATATCGGCAACAGTGTCTCCTCTATTAGTGTTCTTCATGGTCGAATCGCATGCAGGCCCGGCTCAAATTTGGTTGGACCTTGTGCTAAAAAAAAAAAAAAATCTTTATTTAGGGTGTTACTTATAGATTTTCAAAATTTTGGACCTTTATTTACAATTTTTTTTTTTGAGGGTCCTAAAACCTACTAATAAAAAGTCAAAACCAATGAGGCCCAGTGCAATTAAAAGCACTCCTTGCACTGCCCTTAAACCAGGCATGATCGCATGTACAAGAGAGCACTTCAATTATGGTTTGCAGCTTATGGCAGATGGAGAACCGGAGATAGACCGAGATCGACGGTTGAAAAGATAAAACGAAGTTATGAAAATAAAAAGATATTATTCTGTTGACAAAAAAAAGTATATATTATTCTAAAAGATATGTGATAAATGTCCATATTTCTCGCTTTATCTTCTTGACCGTCGATCTCGATCTATCTCCGATTTTCCATCTCCCAATACGACTCATGGTATATAAGTTTTTGTCTTCATGGTCGCATCGCATGTACAAGAGAGCACTTCAATTATGGTTTGCAACTCTTGGTATATAAGTTTTTTTTCTTTCTTTCTGATGTTTCAGTTTTTCAATAGAAGCTGCAAATGAATTATCAAAACAGAAAGCAACGAGTAAGTACCAGGTTGGAATCTCCAAGAAGAAGTTATCGGTGGAAGATTTTTCAATTGATTTGCCTTTTTAAAAATACTAGACCGATCGATTCCACAAAAAATGGTCAACTAACTTGCTTTTGATTTCTAAAGCAAATAAAAAGTCTAAAGTAAAAACATTCTTATGAAATCTAAAATATGTTCGCATAATACAAAATACTGAACTAAAACTTTTAAAAAGGTGTCAAAGTTAACACACAATACCGAGACTTTAAAAATACAAGAGGGGGTAAAAGCATAAACATAAATCTTGACACAGATTCGAAATACTCGTCGAACAGTTAACTTCACCACCGTAGATTTATGCTTCAACCATATTAAACACTTAGTCTCCGGCACCTTTAACCGGCCTTACTCTCGGGTAATTTGGCCTCGTAAACCTCTGTAGTCTGTTAAATCAAAGGAGAAAGAAAGAAAGAGGCAAGATTCATTAGTAGATGATGATGATGATATCGAAAACAGTTTGAAGATAGTGAGACAACACATAACATCACAAGTCATGTTTCTTTTGTTTGCATACCATGTAAGTGGCAGTAATCATCTTTCCAGCAAACCATCTTCTGAGAGTGTTTCTAGAGTGTTTGGTTTCTTATTTTGAATAATTTCTAGAAAAAACTTAGAGAACTAATATGGTCTTTGCTTCCGTGATAAAGTGACTTTTGGATAAAATTCATATAGAAAATTTCAAATCAGAAAGAGAAGACTTATGTTTACTGCTTTTAAAAGAACAAAACGTATTTATACTAGTATTTTTTTAAATTAGTATTTTTTATAGTTTAACAAATATTTTCTAGCTAGTGGTCGTGATATATTAATACGAAATCTTTTCTTATTTTGAATATTATTATCTTTCTAAAGTGTTTGGTTTCTAGAAGAAACGTAGAGAACGATCTTGATGTACCTTATCAACCATATAAAAGTTCATAATTTTTCATATTTGAAAAGGGGTATTTTTGAAAATGAATAGAAAATAGGGGTATTTTTAAAAAGGGGTACACTAAAAGGGGTATTTCTCAAAAATTCTCTTTAAATAGCTTAACAAATATTTTTTAGCTAGTGGTCGTGATATATTAATATGAAATCTTGTCTTATTTTGAACATTATTATCATTTTAGAGTGTTTGGTTTCTAGAAGAAAACCTAGAGAACCAATATGGTCTTTGCTTAGGTGATAAATTGATTTTTGGATAAAAGTCACATAAAAAATTTCAAAATCAAAAAGAGAAATAAATTTTCCCTAGTTTTTAAAAATAAAATATTTATATGTATTTTAAATCTTTTTTTGTGCACCACCGCCAAATAAATTTTCCCTCGTTTAAAAAAATAAAATGTTTATATGTATTTTAAAAAATATATGTAAATCTATACAGAGTTTTCTGATTATTGTAGGGAGAATAAAAAATAGTTTTTAAAATTGATTGATTTTACGGCCATGATATTTGAAAAAGAAAAAATAAAGAAGAACACAAATTAAGTGATTTTAAAAGAAAATAAAAGTAAAAAATACTTGATTGGCACGTTAGCTGATCATATCTTTATAATTATGGTTCCCTCGTTTTTTAAAATAAAATGTTTATATATTTTTTAATGCACGGCCACCAACTCTATTGTCATGCTATTTTGATAACAGCCAAATAATTAAATTAAATTAATCACGATTAACTTCCTATATATACAGTAGGTTTGCGTGCGGACCGAACATATCTTGAGAAGACAAAACAAATTACAAAAAAAAAACATGGAAGTTTCAACACATCGTCACGTTGTTCTCTTCCCTTACATGTCAAAAGGCCACATCATCCCTCTCCTCCAGTTCGGTCGTCTCCTCCTCCGTCACCACAGCAAAGAACCAACCATATCCATCACCGTCACCGTCTTCACCACTCCAAAGAACCAAACTTTCGTCTCAAAGTTCCTCTCGGACACACCGGAGATCAAAGTCATCTCTCTCCCTTTCCCGGAAAACATCCCCGGGATCCCTCCCGGCGTCGAGAACACGGACAAGCTCCCTTCCATGAAACTCTTCGTCCCATTCACGCGTGCCACGAAGCTTCTCCAACCATTCTTCGAAGAAACACTCAAGAATTATCTTCCACAAGTTTCCTTCATGGTCTCCGATGGTTTCCTCTGGTGGACATCGGAATCTGCTGCTAAGTTCAAGATTCCTAGGTTGGTCTTTTACGGCATGAACTCTTACGCCTCCGCCGTCTCCATCTCTTCTCACAAACACCAAATCTTTGCCGAACCGGCAACTAAATCTGATACCGAACCGGTTACTCTACCGGACTTTCCATGGATCCAGGTCAAAAAGTGTGATTTCGACCATGGTGCTTTCGATCCGGACAAGCCGGATCAAGCGCTCGAGCTATCTAGGGAACAATATATGTCGACCACTACAAGCCATGGGTTTTTAGTGAACAGCTTCTACGAACTTGAGTCAAAATTCGTTGACTACAACAACTCTAATGGACACAAGTCGTGGTGTGTTGGGCCATTGTGTTTGGCAGATCCTCATAAATCGAAGAAGAGTGCTAAACCGGCTTGGATCCATTGGTTGGATCGGAAGCGTGAAGAAGGGCGTCCAGTTTTGTACGTGGCTTTTGGAACACAGGCAGAGTTATCAACTAAGCAGCTTATAGAACTAGCTTTAGGGTTGGAAGATTCAAAGGTACGTCGAGTACGTACACAAGTTAGGCATTACTAGTAAGGTTTGGTATAATAAATACGTGTTTCTTATTAATGGCGTGTTTGATTATTTAGGTGAACTTTATGTGGGTCACGAGGAAAGATGTGGAAGAGATTCTTGGAGAAGGATTTAAAGATAAAATAAGAGAGAGTGGGATGATAGTGAGAGATTGGGTTGACCAATGGGAGATATTGTCACATGAGAGTGTCAAAGGATTCTTGAGCCATTGTGGTTGGAACTCAGCACAAGAGAGCATATGCGTTGGTGTCCCGTTGCTAGCTTGGCCGATGATGGCCGAGCAACCTTTCAACGCAAAGATGGTTGTGGAGGAATTAAAGGTCGGAGTGAGAGTTGAAACCGAAGATGGGAGGGTAAGAGGAGGATTTGTGACAAGAGAGGAACTAAGTCGAAAGGTATATTGAGACACAAACAAATACAATATAAGTTTATAGTTATGTTCATTGTTAGTGTGTTTATTAGTATTTTTATTTACGTCTCAGATTAAAGAACTAATGGAAGGAGAAACTGGAAAACTCGCAAGAAAGAACGTGGAAGAATACTCGAAACTGGCAAAAGCAGCTTTGGTTGAAGGGACTGGTTCGTCTTGGAAGAACTTGGATTTGATTCTGAAAGAGTTATGTAAGAGTAGAGAGTCAAATAGTGCTAGTGAATAGAGAAGTGATTTGAGGATTCAAATGGTGCTTTTAATAGTTCAACTTGATTTTGTTAAAGGAAAATAAAAATTGTGATTAAAATTGAATTGGGTGATAAATATCTCAGTTCCACATCCTAAGTTGAAAGAAGTCTGTGCAGTTGATTTAGGACTTAATTTCAAATTAAGAAAAATTAATGATCAAAAATACCTCAGCGGTTGAAGACGCGGCGGAAGGAATGAGTTGAGGAGAAATCAGAAAATGAAAATCGGAGAAAAAAAAGAATAAGCGTTTATTTTCTTAGTTATTATAATTTAAGCTATATATATATCTTTGTTTGGCATTGTGTATTATGTGACGGTAGGTTGGCTGGTAATATGCTTGATTAACTGGTATCAGAAGTAGTAGGTTTGACTCTTGAGTTTGCAATTTTTTTATTTTAAAAGTTTTTTTCCCAGATTGATCATTCAATTGTCCCACGTGGTATACTAGTCATCATATTTTAACGGAACTATAACACTGTTTATCGATTTGATAGTTTTGACCGAATTTAAATTGTTTCTGAATTAAAGCTGTTGAAGACGCGGCGGGAGGAATAAGTTGAGGAGAAATCAGAAAATGAAAATCGAAGAAGAAAAAAAAATAAGCGTTTATTTTCTTAGTTATTCTAATTTAAGCGATATATATATATATATATATATATATATATATATATATATATATATATATATATATGTAATACGCTTGATCGTTTGATCATTCAATTGTCCCACATGATATACTAGTCAAACCATCAAACCATCAAATTGATGGTTTTGACAGGATTTAGATTGTTCGTGTAGAAAATTAGAATTTTAGTTAAGTTCATGTAGATTTAGGCACACTTCAAAGTTTTGTGTATAAGCAGCTAAGTTTAACAAAATACTGAATTAAAAAACTTTTTAAAAAGGGTGTCAAAGTTAACACACAATACCGAGACTTAAAAATACAAGTGGGTAAAAACCATAAACATAAATCTTGACACAAGATTGGATTAGGACAGTTAACATTACCACCGTAGATTTTATCTTTTCTTTATACTTCAACCATAATTATAAACTTAGTCTCCGGCAGGCACCTTTAACCGACCTTACTCTCGGGGAATTTGGCCTCGTAAACCTCTGTAGTCTGTTAAATCAAAGGAGAAAGAAAGAGAGAAGCAAGATTCGTTAGTAGATGATGATCAGTTTGAAGAAAGTGAGACGACAAAAGTCATGTTTCTATTGTTTGGATACCATGTAAGTGGCAGTAATCATCTTTCCAGCAAACCATCTTCCATGGAGAGCACGTTGTGCACCCATGGCTGCTTGCGTATTCTCAAATCTCAGGTAGACAAAACCAACGCTGTTCCTGTTTTAGCAACAGAGATTCAACGTCAGAGATCAATCTAATATTTTCGAATTTCGAGAGTGAGAAAGTTACACGATGCTAAAAGCTCACTCACTTGTCAACGTAGATATGATCCAGCTGTCCGAACTTGGAGCATTCTTCTTTGACATCTTCTTTTATATCCTCGTCAAAATGAGGTTCAGTCTGCCAAAAAGATACAAGTGTAAAGAATAGCTAGCTTGTAATACGGAATTGTTAAGCCGAAAGAAACTATTTTTGGAGATTACTAACCTCTGTGGATGGATCAAACATGTTTTTAAGCAGCAGACATTCGCTGGGGATACCAACTGGGTCAAGCACAGCTGGTATTACACCAGGAATAATGCCGGCCCCTGCGAGTCCAGCAACTGCAGGAAAAGACCCTTGTAAAAGAGCAGGAGCTGCCAATGGAGAGATTGTAGAAACTCCTCCGTGAATTGATGCAGCTGTAGTAAGGCCAGTGCTGCAGAGAAGGTTGGAGAATTTAGAGGAATGTAAATGAATTTACACAAACTGCAAAAACAGAAATTAGTAACAGGAAATAGAAAACCTTGATGCCGTTCCACTGCGATCAAGCTTTTGCATGAGAAGCGCACGCGATTGTGCATTCAGAGACTGCAAAATAAGTAACCAGGAAGGTAAGGCTACGAGAAGAAAAGCTTTTACTGACAGTGTTGGAAAGATAACTCCATTTTCTTCTACTCCCCCATGGATCTTACACATAGTAGCTATTTACTTTCATAGAGAACTAGATTTAGTAAAGTCTATGGACACCCTTTTGTTGAAGTTCATGAAACTTATGTTCAGATTATATCTATACCAAATCATGCAGTAACTATATTTATTATGTAAAGCAGGTGACTTGAGTTCTCTCTATAGATCCATGGAATATATCCACTTTTGGAGTTTATGCTAGCAAGATTAAGCCAACTACTAACCAGGCCTCCTCCATCATCATCATCCAAATCACCGGTGGTTTGCGTCTGTCCAGCTTCTGGGACTTCAGTTTGATCAGTTACAGCTGACACCTAATGAAAAATAAAACTACATTATTAACAGATATAATATGCATGTGGCGTTGTTACATGCATGTTCAGAAGCTTTTGAGACAGATTCAAGATGGTTGACTGCTCAAAGTCATAGAATTTGCCGTCACTAAGCACAAAATAAATGAATTTCTATTCAGTTTTACCACAAAGAAGCAATCCGTCCAGAGAGTACTTAGCATAGCTTAAGCTCTCTAAGACCTTCAATACTACTTATCTCAGTTGATTTTTTTTTAATGGTTCAACAATACCTTGATTGCACGACCTGCAATCTCCAACTGCCCATTTAGATTCAGTGCATTCCTAGCATCCTCTAGGCGGGCGAACTTGAAGGTTGAGAAAAAGAAAAAAATTCTGTTAATAAATAAGTACAGTAGCACAAAAAGCCTAATCAAGATTTAACACTGACTCTACCTACCTGAACAAAACCAAAACCTTTGCAGAGGCCAGTTTCATCACGAGGTACTTGCACCAGCTCCACACTCCCGAATGGTTCAAATACCTAGGAAGGCAAAAAGAAAGCATTATTATGTTACCTGTACGCAAACTATGATCAGTAAATGAGCAATTACAAAAGAAATCTGTGATCCTAAAAGCTCAACAGGCATAACGATTTGTACAATACAGGGATAACTTTTTCCTTACGGTTTTCTGACATTTATCCAAATAACACTTCCTCTATATCCAACATATAGCAGTTGCAAGAAAAAGTACCAGTTTACCTTTCGCAGATCATCTTCTGACATGTTAATGTGGAGGTTACCAACATAAAGACGTCTAGCTCCCCCAGAGTAGGGGCCCAACATCCCCCCAGCTCCAGCAGCAGCAGTTGTTGACTGAACAAGATTCTTCTCAGCTTCAGAAGGTTTTACCATAACAGGCTGACCAAGAAGAGGTTGTCCAGATAGAGCAATAGCCATAGGGACAGACATTGTATCATAAAACTCCACATACCTGCAAGCAGGACCAATTCAGAATCCAGCAAATAATACATCACAACATTTACACAATTAATGTGCTCAGAAGTTATTTAAAGCTTATCACGGTTATGAAAGTTTATAATTTATTAAGCATAAACAAAACTTGTTCTAGCCATTAGCCACATAAGTCTTAAAGAATTAAACAGTGCTAAACTCACCCGATTCCCCTTGAACGCCTCGAAATTCGATCCATAATTATCCGTACATCCCGTACCTAAAACCATATTTAGGAGACAATGTGTTAAAAAATATTCAATTGAACCAGCCAGAACAACATTTTATATGGTGATATGAAACCGGAGAGTAGTGGACAAACCTTTCCAGCTCTGGAAAAGAACTCATAAACATCCCTTTCAGTTGCCCTCAACGCAATCTGTTGTACACAAAAAGAAATCAATTATTGATCAAGTTATAATGTTCTAAAGGAACCATAGCTATAACAACAGGCATACCTGATAGGCAAAAACTGTTCTCTGGTCTCTCTCAGGATCAGCCTCAGGCTCTACCTTATCCTCCTTTTTATCTTTATGGCGTCTGCATAATAACAAACATGTAAGCTTGTTTAATTTGTTAGTAGAAACGATTTCATCCATATTTTACAAGATGTCGCAACATCTTTCGAATATGCCAAAGACAACATATCAGAAGCCATCTTCTGGTATTCAGCAATATGTTAATATTATGACAATTCAAAACAGATAAACTTTTCTCCGATAGGCGTACACATGTGAAGCACGAGATGGCCCTGCAGGGAACTATGTGAAGTCAACAACGGATGATCAATAAACTCATAAAATTAAAACTTAGAGATCTTCTTTCATTTTAAATTTAGCACGGGACCAACCTGAAGTCTAACCAAAAACATTTTACCTTCTATTACAATGATAATCTTAAACGGAACGATCCCCATCAAGTTGTACAGAAGTCAATACCAGTGGACCTAATAGCATTAGTATGAACCTGTTAACACTTATAGCTCACATCAAAGTTTTTGTAGCATACAAGAGATCTGGATTCCTTATTGGAAGCACTAGGATCCCACATCCTCAATTTTAGTCACAAGATCCCAACACTATTCTGAAATTACCATGATGAACTGAACTCTACAGGGATATAGATTGAATAGCAACACGATACATAAATTCAAGAACCAGATTCTAAGATCACCAACTCGGATGTGTACCTCTCAGAAGTATGCATACTGATTAAATGCAGTAAAGAAAAGAGATAGAAGGAGCACCTGCGATCTCTATCCCGTTCCTTGATCTCTCTTTCCTTAGGTTCAATTTCCTGGCTCTTCTCTCTTTCCTGACTCCGATGTCGCTCTGATCGACTTCTACTTCTCCTTGAACGTTCTTTTTCATGGTCACGTCCTTTACTGTCTTTGTCCCTCTCTCTCTCTTTCCCGTTTCTTTCTTCTTTATCTCTACTCTTCTCATGATCTCTATCCCTATCCTTGTCCCTGTGCTCCCGGCTACTCCTATGCCTATCTCTAGAACGTGAACGGTGGTGGGATCTAGACCGCTTAGAACGCCGACCCTCCTCATCTTCATCGCTCCGATGCCTCGAGCTTCTACTCCGTTCTTTCCCTTCAGATTTGGCTTTCTCATCACCACCATTCACAACTTCATTCTCCAGGAGGGGATTCTCAACAGTCTTCTCTAAGTACTCATACTCATCAAAGTCCATCGTAGAAGATAAGATACCCTAAGTGATGGAGAACAGATTCAACAGAGAAGACGGTACCAAAAATTAGGGTTTTCGGTTTTATCGCTTTCACGGCTTAGATTTCATGTTTCATTGATGAAAAAAAAAAAAGAAAAAAAAAATCATGTTTCATTAGGCCCATTATGGATGCGTAATTAGGCCCATTTTTGCTCGTTATATATTAGAGAGAGTATGCTTATGTTAGTTGGTGAATGTTTGCAATAATTAACAATTGTTCGTATAATTTCTAAAACATTCAATAATTAGTTTGCATGTGTCATAATTCAGTAGCTATTATTTTTCCAATAATCAATACAAAACTAGATTTTAAGCCGCGGTACACCGCGGGACAACATTCCTAAAATGTATTCTTTTTTATTAATTTTGTTTGTTATATAAGAGTACAACTATATTTTGATTGTTAATTCTATGATTTAACCCGTAGAATATTATATGATAATTTATTCTTTATATAATCGTAATTTGATCAAATTAATTAAATAAGTATAATATTTAAAATAATGAAATGATATTGACATAATATTCGTTTACATAGTATAATTTTATATTAAAATATTTTGTGAGTTATACTATAGTAGACCACCCCTAAAAATATCTATAATCATAATTATGTAAATGATAACTCGTTCCATCACATGACCCGTGCTACACAATTATCAACAATCTTTTAGTACATCCATATTTGTATCGTTTGAGTAATATACATCCGTTTCTAAAAATTCAAATTGCATTATATGCAAAAAAAAATATTTTTATTATACATATATTTATGTAATAATATAAATTTAAAAACAAATAAAATCATATAAAGATGTTGGAGAAATATTTGATTTATTAGGGAGAGATTTTAGGAAATTTATTAAATGTAATAAATATTGATTTCTAATTTTTCAATTTTATTATGATTTAATTATAAAATTTATCTTAAACTTTTTCAATTTAATCAAATGGCAAGGGGTTAATTATGAAAATATCACAAAATAAAAGGGTAGAACACAAAAGGTACTTCAAAAATGTTAATATATATATATATTTAAACAAATAAGATTATATAAATATATTGGAGAGAGATTCGGTTTATTAGAGAGGGATTTTAGGATATTTTTTGATGTAATAAATATTTGGTTTCCAATTTTGGGATTTTCTTGTGATTTAATTACAATATCTACTTTTAAATTTTGTTATTTATTCAAATGGCAAGACTTTGATTATGTAAATATTACAAAATAAAAGGTTATAAGCCAAAATAGATTTTAGTACAAAATGTACTTCAAAAATGTTAAGATAGATATTTATTTGCCTATAGTGAGAATATTTGATGTGTACAAAATTTCTACCGTCAAGTTTCAAAATTTTGATATCATGATATATGCTACATATTCAAAAAGACAAGAATTATTTAAAAATAAATTTAAATACGTCGTCGTTTGCAACCTCATCAATCACTGTCCATATAAGAGTTAATAGATTGCATGGACAAGAGACGCTTGGGTGCGGGTGGATACTTGTTTGACGGTTACGATGCTCTAACTCTTTTGGTTTGGCGTGGTACAATTTTAGAGGAGTTTAGGCCACTGATCTACAATCTGGACTACACTTTCTTTGTGGATGATCCCTCCATCCCCGATTTCATCTCACCTGGTTTCAGATTTTCTACCGAGATGAGCTCGATGATCTCTTTGAAGAAATTTTTGAAGATGAGATTTTGATCTTTTCTGTCTCTGCTTTAGTCCGCTCTTACCCAAGCTTTTCTACTATAGAACCAGGTGAGATATACTTTTCTTCCTTGGAAGAATTGGCTTACGTTTTTCTGTCTTGCATCTTGCCAATGCATCACAACATGCTTTGCACGGATGTACATCCATCCTATTTTGAATTTCAAAACTCGTACAGTGAAGCGTATAAAGACAAGAGGAAACTTTATGTTGGTCGAGGGGCGGGCTTAATCCACAAATTCGTTGTGATGGAGGTGTAACCTTCGACGTTATGGGTGGGTTACTGTTTTCTTTTGAAAAACTTTCTACAAGTAACATTTTAATATTTATCCAAAAGATTAAAAAGATGTTATTTTGCAAATTCTTTCTTTTATTAACAGTTTTAAAAATAAAAAGACACTCATAAAAAGCCCATTAACACTGAAACTTCAACATAGAACTTATAAACCCAACAAAACCCAACTTAGGCGTTTCCATCTCTCCTCTACTCATTCTTCTTCGTCTTCGTCTCTGTCTTTTTCCAAACTTTTGCTGTGCGCTTTTTTTGTCCAAAGAATCATATTCTTTTGCCCTCTCACACGAGTCAAATTTACCTTTTTGCCACAACACAATCATGGCGGCGACGGCGGCGGTCTGGCAACCCCGGGAAGATGGTCTCGCTGAGATCTGCGCTCTTCTCGAACAACAGATTTCTCCTTCCTCCGTCGTTGACAAGTCTCAGATTTGGCAGCAGCTTCAACACTTCTCTCAGTTCCCTGATTTCAACAACTATCTCGTCTTCATCCTCGTTCGCGCTGAGGTTTTAGAACTTTCCTCAACTCATCTCTCTTCTCTTCCTGAGATTTTTGTTTTTTGTTTTGTTTCCGTATTGACTCAATCTACTTGTTGAAGACGATGACTCTTTGGAGTTTGGATGGTTGAATTTTCATTTGCTATTTGGATTCACTTTGTTGCTTATCTTAGCTGATCATCTTGCGTTTTCAATTGACTTGCTTTAGTTTCTCCAGACTATGAGTTATGAGTTTCTGTGTACTGTGTCCTGTGCCCTAATGGATTTATCTCCTTTTGATCATATATGTTGTGAATGAACTTTGTGCTTCAATTGACTTGAAGTTTACTATAATATAAATGTTGTGTAGAGAATAGTGAGCTGTGTTTTCTAATCTTGGGAACTCAGTTCTAGTTGCATCTACATGCTTTAATTGCCTTTATATTGATGTTGCTGTTTGGATTAGGTTTTATTGCATTCTATTTGAATACTCTGTTACCTAGCTGATGTGTAATTGTGTTATGATCAGGGTAAGTCCATAGAGGTTCGTCAAGCTGCTGGATTGCTTCTGAAAAATAATTTGAGGGGTGCTTATCCATCCATGGTTCAAGAAAACCAAAAATATATCAAGTCAGAGTTGTTGCCTTGTTTGGGAGCAGCTGACAGGAATATACGGACTACAGTTGGAACGATCATCAGTGTTATTGTTAATATAGAGGGAGTTTCTGGATGGCCAGAGCTTTTGCCAGCTCTTGTAACTTGTTTAGACAGTAATGACCTGAATCATATGGATGGTGCGATGGATGCATTGTCAAAGGTATTAGCAGCTATGCGTTTCCTTTTCTGTTTCTTGCTCTTTTTGTTGAACTCTTGATTTATGAACCTTAAGCCTGTGTAATCCAACTTCTGATTGTTAGTTGTCATATATTTGGATTTCTTTCAAAGTTTTTGTAATATATAGGTGTTGATTTCTTATCAATCAGATTTGTGAGGATATCCCGCATGTCTTGGATTCGGAAGTGCCTGGCTTAGCAGAACGCCCCATCAACATTTTCTTGCCTAGGCTATTTCAGGTAAACATCTCATATTCGTACATAGATTTCAGAACTCTGTTGTAGCACTTGTTAGGTTCTAGTTTGATTTCTTTTCGTCCTGTTGGATTGGTTGTCATAAGATTGATAACCACTCTTTTGTTTGAGCAGTTTTTTCAGTCACCCCATGCTTCACTGAGGAAGCTTGCCCTGGGTTCTGTCAACCAATATATCATAATAATGCCCGCTGTAAGTACTTGTAAACTTTCGTTTTTGTTTTTATATGTTATAAAGGACGGTGGGGATGGTAACAAACTACGTTTTGCAGGCTTTGTACCATTCCATGGATAAGTACCTTCAGGGCTTGTTTGTCCTTGCCAATGATCCTGCAGCAGAAGTCAGAAAATTGGTATGCGTCTCTTTTAAGCTTCTGTCAATTGTTTCTTATTTTTGTCAGTACAGGAGAGGGTTATATCGACTTCTAATAATTGTTTTTAGATGGCATATGATTCATTCAGATTCCCATCTCATTTCGGATGTTCTTATGCTTCTGTAATAATGTCTTTTCTTCTTTTTCTTAAAAGGTCTGCGCAGCATTTGTGCATCTCACGGAAGTCCTCCCCTCATCCATAGAGGTATTTTTCATTGCGGTTTTAGTATTCACACTGCTTCAAATCTATCCCAAAGCGTTCCTCTTTTGAGGTGCTTCATATGTTTAGTTTAATCATATTCTCTACCCTGCGTCTCAGATTTGTCTTTTTCCCTTCTTTTTTATTTATTTCAGCCGCATCTAAGGAATGTCATGGAATACATGTTACAAGTTAACAAAGATCCTGACGAAGAAGTGTCTCTCGAAGCATGTGAATTTTGGTAAAATGTTATTCTCTTTCTATAGATGATGGTTTTATATCTGGTTTTCTCTTATGTTCCATCCTGTCCTCATTTGATAACATAAAGCTGTATTGTTGTTTTGTAGGTCTGCATACTGTGACGCTCAGCTCCCGCCTGAGAACTTGAAAGAGTTTCTGCCACGCCTAATTCCAGTATGGTGATATTTATCCTTTTCTTGAGTATGATTTTTGGGCACTTAATCATATACCCAGCGGATGTAGTTTGTAATGTTAGATATCATATATATGTTTTAGGTGCTGCTCGAAAATATGGCTTACGCAGATGACGACGAGTCACTTTTGGATGCAGAGGTTGTTTTTCTGTTGATATTATATGTTTTGTCACCTTACCCTATATAAATATCATTTATATATATGAAAACTGCTCACTTTTTCAGGAAGATGAGTCTCAACCAGACAGAGATCAGGTGCAATTGTTTGTTCTTGCGTCTTTAATTTTTCTTATAGATTTTTCCACTTTTAATTTTATTCATTTTGGTTCCCCTTTTACCTACAGGATTTGAAACCTCGTTTTCATACATCAAGACTTCATGGATCAGAGGATTTTGATGATGATGTATGTGATTTAGTTTTTGTGTCATTTGATATCTGTACAGAAATGCATGTGTTATATGATACATATATGAATTCTATAGATCCCTCTTTAATGACTGTCTCTGGGTACAGGATGATGACTCGTTTAATGTGTGGAATTTAAGAAAGTGTAGCGCAGCAGCTATTGACGTTCTCTCTAATGTATTTAATGATGAAATCCTTCCAACACTCATGCCCCTGATTCAGGTAAGTGTTATTCCTCTTGGTCCTTTTGAAAGTAGCACAATTAGCTAAACCTGTTCTTCCAAGCAGGTAAAATTATCAGCTTCTGGTGATGAGGCTTGGAAAGATAGGGAAGCCGCTGTTTTGGCTCTCGGGGCTATTGCTGAAGGCTGCATGAATGGTCTTTACCCTCACTTGTCTCAGGCAAGTTTGTTTTTGATCCACATCATCTCATATATATGGTTTTTCTCTGCTCAGTTGATATACATCACCATGCTAACGTTTTATTTCTGCAGATCACATCATTTCTTCTTCCTCTTTTAGATGATAAATTCCCTCTCATACGAAGCATATCTTGCTGGACGCTTTCTCGATTTGGCAAGTATCTTATCCAGGTATGACTTGAACAGGATATTTCACGCTTTAACTGCTTCAAACGGTCTTTAGATGATTCACTGCTGCTATTTTCTAGGAAAGTGGCAATCCGCAGGGTTATGAACAGTTTGAGAAAGTTCTTATGGGTCTACTCCGCAGACTCTTAGATACGAACAAGCGGGTCCAAGAGGCTGCCTGTTCAGCTTTTGCAACTGTTGAAGAGGTACCTATTGGCTTTGCTATGTGGTATTTGGTATCATTTGTCAATGTTGGTTGACCATGTGAATCTTTTATGAACGTGTAGGATGCTGCTGAAGAGTTAGTGCCACACCTGGGAGTAATACTGCAGCATCTGATGTGCGCTTTTGGAAAGTATCAGGTCATTAAATTCTCTTAAAGTTAACTGCTTTGCCAGTCTAAATCTTTGTGGCGGCTATTATCCACTTCCTACTGTTTCTATATGTCTATCTAACATACAACTTTCATATACCCAGAGGCGGAACTTAAGAATTGTTTATGATGCTATTGGAACACTGGCAGATTCAGTTAGAGGAGAGCTGAACAAGGTATAATGATTGGATTTGTACAAGGTTAATCTGATCTTGTAAACTCAACTTCTTGACAAGTATCTTTACCTTTTCAGTTTCATATACTGGTTGCAGTATAAATGTTTTTGCCTAATTAATATTCTTCCCTTACGCAGCCTGCTTATCTTGAGATTCTGATGCCCCCACTGGTTGCAAAGTGGCAACAACTTTCAAACTCAGATAAAGATCTTTTTCCACTGCTAGAATGCTTCACATCCATTTCTCAGGTATGGGTTACTTGTAAAGGTCTTAAGACATCTGTAAGGTCTTGAATCTGTTGCACGAATGAAACATTTTTTAATAATCCTACTCAGTGAAGTTAATAATTTTGGTAGTTTTAAGATCACTGAAAAGGTATGATGGGGTTGTTGGTCAGCTAGAAGCCCAAAAATTCGTGCATTTGATCAAATATTAGTTTTGGAAGCCTGAAAGTGCTACTAATTGTAGGAAATAACAGTTATGAATGTCTGACAAGTTCATCTTGAGTCAAGATCACTGAAACAACCTCCATTAGCGCCTTGCATTGATGAAGTGACCGAGCGTGCGCACTAGGCGAAAGCGAGATCAGGGACCTTTAGTGCCTAGGGTCGCCTCAGGCCATTAAAAACCTAAATCTGGACTGGAAATAAGACTTTTTGCAGCATGAACTCTCTATGCCTAACAAATTGTGTTTCCATGTTTCAGGCTTTAGGTGTAGGATTCGCTCCATTTGCTCAGCCTGTTTTCCAGAGATGCATAGATATCATCCAATTGCAGCAGCTGGCTAAGGTTCCACTCAGACTTCTGCAATTTCATCTCATTTGAGGATTGACTGACTTTTTCCAGTGTACCTTAGTCACAAGCTTGCATGATCTTAACTATTGCAAGCTTTCCTGTTTGATCAAAGCTTGCTTCTGTTGTTTTAGGTTGATCCTGCTTCTGCTGGGGCTCAGTACGACAGAGAATTCATTGTTTGTTCTCTTGATTTGCTTTCTGGACTTGCTGAAGGGCTTGGCAGTGGGATAGAGTCTCTGGTACTTAATTTCTTGATGTCTTGCTCATACTATTTGTTACTCGTAATTTCCCATCTAGTCGATAACTTTTATAACTTCTGTGATCATTGTTGTTGGTACAACATGAGCAAGTGGATGGTTATGTATCTAATTTATGGTTGGTACAACATAATTGAGTTGATTTCCACAACCGGATATGTTCTTACCATTGTTCTTATAGGTTTCACAAAGTAACCTAAGGGATCTACTTCTCAAGTGTTGCATGGATGAAGCTCCTGATGTCAGACAAAGTGCTTTTGCCTTAATGGGTGACCTCGCAAGAGTAAGCTACATATTCTTTTATTCTTAAGTATTTTCCTTTAACATAAAGAAACAGCATGGGAAGTGACAACTCGTAGTTATGTGAGATTATAAGACTCTCTTTTGCTAAATGTATTTGTGAAATAATGCTTTTGGCTACCACCAACAGGTATTCCCGGTCTATCTACAACCCCGCCTGCTTGAGTTCCTTGAAATTGCAAGCCAGCAACTGGTTGGTATCCAAGTTTTATTGTTACTATAGTTATTCTCTTCTTGTATGGCACTAATTATATCTATGCTTTCTACAGAATGCAAACCTCATTCGAGAAAATATTTCTGTCGCAAATAATGCTTGTTGGGCTATAGGAGAATTAGCAGTCAAGGTACTACTAAAATACATTTCCTCTATTAGAGCTTGAAGTTTCTAGTTAAGAGCAGACTCGTGAGTGTGATAGGAACTCGATTTTTCAGGTTCGTCAAGAAGTCTCACCCATTGTGGCCAACGTTGTCTCTTCTCTAGGACTCATTCTTCAACATGGAGAGGTGACTGTGGCAGCTTATAAATTGTTATCTTGGCCACATCTAAGTCTATCAACTGGGGTATTTGATGAGTATGCCTAATTTTATTTTCTTGTGAAACAGGGTGTCAATAAAGCACTAGTTGAGAACAGTGCAATTACCCTCGGGAGATTAGCATGGATTCGTCCCGACCTCGTCGCACCACACATGGAACACTTTATGAAGCCATGGTGCATGGCATTGTCAATGTTAGTAAACCTCTGTGTTGAAATTGGAGTCTTTACACTTACCAATCTCTTCTCCATAGAACAATTTCTTATCATACTTTCTTTTCAGGGTGCGTGATGACATTGAGAAAGAAGATGCATTTAGAGGATTATGCGCAGTGGTATTTCTCTGTACTCTTTGGTTTGTGTTCAAAAAATGGAAAACAAGCTTGATATCTAAAAGTGTTCTCTGCAAATTCAGGTTAAAGTGAATCCATCAGGAGGTGTCAGCTCTCTAGTTTTCATATGTAAAGCCATTGCAAGTTGGCATGTAAGTGAACATGAACCAAACTGTAGCTCTCCTAGCTAAACCCAATATCGTGACCGAGCTTTGGAACAATTGATGGATACACAAATGACCTTTATTTTTGTTTGTCACAGGAAATAAGAAGCGAGGACGTGCAGAACGAAGTCTCCCAAGTACTGAGCGGCTATAAACACGTAAGCTATTTGGAATGTAATTAAGTGCTGTGCTTGCTCGCATACTGTAGGAGTAATCTGATGTTAACTTATTTTGGGTTCAGATGCTGGGAAACTCATGGGCAGAATGTTTATCTGCTTTGGATCCTCCGGTAAAGGAAAGTCTTGCGAGATATCAAGTGTAAAATTGATCGTACACCGGTTAGTCTAAAAAAAGAGATCTCTGCTCTTAGCTTATTCATTGCAAACAGCAAACAGATTCAGAGAGTTTTGAGCACAAGACGCTTGAGACACCATTTTGTTCTTCTTTTTTTTTTTGCAAGATTGAATGAAGGGCAAAAAGGCCACAAAAGAAAAGCATACAGTACAGAGTTTGTGTGTTGTGGTGGGCTCTTCAGATTACATGGTTGAATTTTTTTTACTTTCAGTCTTCATTATTATTCTATTTCTACTTCGATTCTTGGTCCCTTCTTTTTTTCTTCTCTTGCGGGCAACGTTGTATCTTGGTTATGGTGGTTTGAGCAGTTTTGGTAAGATGTCTAAAACCGAAAGAGCTAAGCAAAGTTTAGATTCATTGTGGCTACAGCTTGTGTGAACTATTATTCTATTGGACCTGCGGATACCAAATAAGAAAGATGTGATTGGGATTATTATGTATTATTATCTGCCATCGTTTCAGTTTCGAAACCACACCACTGTATCGAACTCATTATACTGCTTCACCATCAAGTGGAGCCACGAGTGTCGCGAGCCGCTCAAACCAAAGAGACCCAACAACAGAATTAAGAGAAAGATAACATAGCCGAGGGAGACTAGAATATACTTGGCCTCTGTTTATTATAGTATTGAGTCTAAGACAAGTTTATTGAACTTTGGGTTGTTTCATTGAGATCCTTTACTTAAGGGTTCTGTAATAACAATTTAGTACAGTAGACAATAAGGAGTCCCCCCACCCCACCCCGGAAAATTGGCCAAAATCGACCCCTCTCCAGCAACCTTTTTATACCCAAACAATGACCCTAGGCAAAAACCAACGTCATATCTCAATAAATTCAAATTTCATACCTGAACTCTATAATTTTATGAAAAACCAACAAAGCCTCAAACGGTGTTAACTCTCCGTCTAACGACGATAATTAAGCAGCCGACGTGGCAAATGACGAGGCTTCGGAGTAGCGTGGAAACGACGTCGTTTTGGATTCTCGATTTTGTTTAACAAAACATAACAAACGACGTCGTATTCATATGGGGGAAAATCCAAAATTAGGGATTTTGTTCTTCTAGTATCGAGAGAGAGAGAGAGACGATTCAGAGAAAGGAGAAGGAGAGAAATCGAAATGGGTGATCAAGGAAGAGGTTTCCTAAGGAGATGCAGATGTGGTGAACTAGTGAGGATGGGCACATCAAAGACGGCTAAAAACCCTGGAAGATTGTTTCACTCTTGTTCTAATGGATCAGATGAGGTATTATCATCATTTTTGTTTCCAGAATTTAATCGACTAGTTTGTTTATGTTTGAAAATAATGAATTTAGTTTCGATTTGCTATAGAGTCGATGGTATCACACGTTTAAATGGACTGATGAGTGTATGGTTGAAGAGATTGAGGATTTGAAGTTGAAAATGAATAATGTGGAAGAAGATTCAATGGCTCTACAAAAGAATGTCAATGCTTGTGAGTCAGAGATTGAAAGTCTACAAATGGAAACTTGTGTTTGTGAAGTTGTGGTAGAAAAGGAGATGCAAGAGTGCAAAATGGAGCTTCGTAGCTTGAAGAATATGGTCGGATGTGCTGTGGTGATGATTTTGATTTACATGTTTATGTTTTGAGGTCTTTGTTTGTAATGGTTGTGTTGACATGTTTTCAGGGTCTTTGTAAGTTAGTTGTGTTGAAATTAAGCTTGTTTGTAGGAAACTTTTATGTATGAGATGAAGCTAATTAATTGATCATGTTGTAATGGAAGAGATTTGAGTAGCATTACAGATGTTAAAATGAAGATTTAAGAGCCGAAATAGTTATACAATCAAAAAAAAAAACCAATAGCCGAATCCAATACAGCTAGCTACACCTTCAATCCAAAAACAAACAACCAGCTGCATACTAATTACCAAATCAACCTACACTATTCTTGTGTTGGCTGACTTTGCGACTCATATCCATCCTCGCTTGGACCTGGAATTTTGTTGTTTCTCTTTCTCTTATGCATCTCCAAAACCATGTTTCTGCACTTGGTTACATTGTGACCAGCTTCTCCACATCTACCACAATGCATAATCCTCCTCTTCCTTGAAGCCTTCTTCTTTGTTGGTGATTCATTTTTTCCTTTCTTCCTCTTTGGCTTAGGTTTTCTACTCCACATTCTGCGCTACACTTCTCTCTCCCCCACCGTGTTAACTTAATATTACTACCATTCTTCAAAGAATAATCCACCAAAGCCTCTTTAAACTCTTCTATGCTGTCAAACACTTGATCCATCTTCAGCTCACCACTTCCAGCTTTGCATCTCACGTATGTTTCCTCATCATCTTCACCATCAGAATTAGGAGGAGTATTATGATAGTCAAACTCCTCCTCATCATCTTCTTCAAGCTGGTCAGCCACAGATCTTTCAATCCGCTGTTCTTCCTCACAGATATCACCATCAATCTCCTCATCTTCTTCAGAAGCCTCTGTTGCAATGAGAAAAACATTAATAACCCAAACCCAACGAGCCCCTTCACACATCTTCTTGAAACTATGATCCATTTTGCACACTTCCTTTCGCTCCTTGTTTTCTTCAAAAGGAAAAGCATACCACACCTTCTTCCTATACGATGCCTCAGCCAATTCAGTCCTCAATGTTTTAAAAAAATCTTCGGGTTTACACTCAATAACATGGACCTCACCATCAACATAAGCATCATCACCTTCTTCACTAATCACCCAATTTCCACTGTGGTACACACTGAATGTTATATCATCCATTACACTGCAACAAGCATAAGATAATTCGACATTAAAACCATAACAAGTCAATCATGCAAAATCGATTCATTGTTCAAAAAAAGTCGATTCATATTTACCTCATTCAAATCGCCTCCTCACAGACCCTATTGTAACTTGGAAGTCGATTCAAATCGCCTCCTCTTCGTTTCGATTTACCTTTCACTCAACCACCTTTTCGATTTCTCTCCTTCTCCTTTCTCTGAATTGTCTCTCTCTCTCGATACTAGAAGAACAAAATCCCTAATTTTGGATTTTCCCCCAAATGAATACGACGTCGTTTGTTATGTTTTGTTAAACAAAATCGAGAATCCAAAACGACGTCGTTTCCACGCTACTCCGAAGCCTCGTCATTTTCCACGTCGGCTGCTTAATTATCGTCGTTAGACGGAGAGTTAACACCGTTTCGGGCTTTGTTGGTTTTTCATAAAATTATAGAGTTCAGGTATGAAATTTGAATTTATTAAGATATGAGGTTGGTTTTTGCCTAGGGTCATTGTTTTGGTATAAAAAGGTTGCTGGAGAATAGTAGAGGTTGGCCAATTTTCCCACCCCACCCCACCCTCCTCCCATAAAAACTAAAAAGGGTATATTTCAATACGAACTTTTTTGAAATATGTATTTTCCTACTTAAACAACGAGACAATGCATTTTTCAATCTTAATCATTAACGTAAAAATATTCAAATTTACTATTTGAACTCTTACTAATAATTTTAAAGCTTGCATTGATTAATTTTGACATTAGTCAACAGTAAAAAAATGCTGATGAGGCATGGACGCTGACAAAAAATGACTAGGATGATAAAAAGACATATGACAGAATCTTTGACACATGTTACTATATGATTGATTTTCTTTAGTTTTTTTAAAAATACTTGTATATTATCTAAGATTTTATATGAATATGATTATATAAAAATCTTTTCAAACATTTTATATTATTTTATGTTATAATTATATTATCAATTTATCGAAAATATTAATTTTTTAAAGAAAAATTTAACATATGTAAAAATTACTTTACTAGTAAGCCTATATTTTTTAAAATACCATAAAATATTTTAGCAACTAATTTATTAATTAAGATACCCTTTTATTTTCTTTTTCCAAAAATATTAAGCTAATAAAATAAACCCTAATTTCATTTTATATTTCTTTCTCTCTAAACTGGTCGCCGCTGCATCCCTCGCTCTCCCTGTCTCCCCGTATCTTTTGTTCTTCTCTGCTTCGTCTTCGCCTATCTCTGTCTCTGCCGTATTTCGCTCTCTCTCTCTCCGTCATTTCATCAACTTTCCGTTTCGTATTATCGTTGGGTAAATTTATTTTCCTTTTTCCGGGATTTTATTCTTCCAATTCTTAAGATTTTGTACAGATTCGTTTATAAAAACATCTTTCCACGAATATTTTATGATATCTTGTGTTAGATTTACATTCTTCGAATTTATTAACGGTAAACTTAACATTAACTGATAATCTTATCCTTAATCAGCCTTCTTTTGTCACTTTTCAGTCTCATCTCCTAAATCCATGGAATTCAAGGCACACATGTTTAGAGAAATGATTCTTTATGAATGGCGTCAAGCTAACGTACAAGAAGAGGACTTAAAGAGGATTTTGCCTACTCTAGTTCAAGTATAATAACACTTCTCCCTTAGAGTAAAAATTTGAGACACTTCAATATTTATTCAAGTCTTGACAATTTCTTTTTTTCTAAAATTTCATTTGGATTTGTATTAGTCGTTTCTCAAGGACATGGCTTATAAAAACAGCGACGAGACACTTTTGGATGCAGAGGTTTATTTTTTGTCCATTTACACTATATGTTGGTCATTTTTTATTTCTTGTGACGTACGCATAACATTTTTACATTTATCTATTTATTTGGTGTCCTTTGATATAATCATTGAGTATAAATGAAACTATGAGTTATAGGATACATAATATATTAATAATTCTTTAATTAATGACCTTATCTTTAGGTACGCGATGATGATTCGCCTAACGTATGGACTTTGAGAAAAAGGGGTGAAGAAAAAGTGTACATGTTCTCTTATGTATTTGGGCATGAACTGTTTCAAATACTCATGCCTCTTGCTCAGGTATAAATATTATCTTCTCTCTCTCTCTCTCTCTCTTGGTTTATATACAATTGATGAAAACAATTAGCTGAAGTCATGTTAATGTAAACTGTAGGCAAAACTAAGAAGATTTGATGATGAGACGTGGAAAGAAAGAGAAGCTATTGTTTTTGCTCTTGGAACAGTTTCTAAAGGCTGCATTAGAAGTTTCCAGCCTCGTCACTTGGCTATGGCAAGTTCTTTTGTGATCTTTTTTCTCATTTTCTAAATAAAAGATCTTTCTTCGTTGAGTTAAGTTCATTAATATGCTAGTGTGTCTTGGTTCATCAGCTTGTAGTACTCCTTGTTCCTCTTTTGGATGATCTTTGCCCTCTCATACGAAGCAAATCGTGTTGGACACTTTCTCAATATGGCGCTTATCTTCTTAAGGTATATGATTGGAACAAATATATTCATGCTTAAATGCTTTATATATACACAATCTTTTGATGATTTGCTACTTTTTTTCTTCTAGGGAAGTCAACATAGGAGTTATCAACATTTTGAGAGAGTTCTTGACGGTGTTCTTCGCAAACTCTTGGATGTGAACATACGGGTTCAGAATGCCGCTTGTGTAGCTTTTACAACTCTTGCCAAGGTTATAACTTGGCTTTGCAATTTGTTCCTTTTTTTTTTTTGATATCATATGTGTACAATAGACCTAGATGGTGCTTAACACCACCCCAAAACCGTGACACCTAAGAAACTCACTGACAATAAGAGAGTAACTAGATGAACTCTTCCTTGGTTAACTAACTACTTGTAAATATTTGATAATTACTTCAACTCCATAAGTTTCTTCCTTGCATGAAATACTAAATGGTAGAGGGAATGTGTATTTATAATTTTAAGAAACATTAGAATTGAATTAGGATTCATTCTTAAACATGTGATTGTGGTTGAGAACTTGAGAAGAATAATTTTTTTTTTTTCATTCTATGAACCTGTAGGATGCTGGTGAAGACTTAGTGCTATACCTGGAAGTAATGCTAGAACATATCATACGTGCTTTTGGAACGGCTCAGGTGATTAAATGATCCTCTTGAACTTCACTGCTTTTGCCTGACTAAATCTTTGTTGGCAGCTATTATATATCAGTTCCCAAACAAACTGTTTCTTTATGTGTACCTAACATCCTATTTTCTTATATTCAGAGGGAGAACATAGAAATAGTCTATAATGCAATTAGAACAATGCCAAACTTGGTTGGAGGAGAGATGATAACTAAGGTAAAATGGTTTGGTTTGTGAAAGGTTGATATGTTCTTGTACATTTTAGTAACTCTCCCCGTTCCTTGAACATCGATTTTGTATGTTTTTCTATGCACACTTTTTCAATACTTGACAAGTATTTTTGTTTTTGTCATATACATTTTCAAACTATTTATTCATCCCTTATGCAGCTTGAGATTTTGATTCCCCAACTGGTTGCAAAATGGGAACAACATTCGGATTCGGATAAAGATTTATATCTAATGCTAGAATGCTTCACATCAATTTCTGTGGTATGGGACGAGTTCATCTTGACACATATATAATTCGAATATTTTGCAGCAGGAACTCTTTATGTCTAACAAATTGTGTGTTTATGTTTCAAGGCTTTAGATGTCGGATCCGTTCCATTTGCTCAGGCTGTTTTCAAGAGATGCATACAAATCATGGAAAAGCAAAACCTAGCTAAGGTACTACTATGATTTTTTTTGTTTATATATATAAGGAAGCTACCTGGCTAAGGTTCTATGTAACATTATGAGATTCAATCTTAACCATGTGACAATCAAAATTTTTGTTTTTTTTTTCTAAATTTTTTCACATTTCATTACATTAATGTAACATAACTACTACAAAATTTTGTTTTTTCTTTTGATCAAAACTTGTTTGTAGGTTGGTATTTCCGCTGTGACTGAGTATGAGAAAGAAACTATCCTCTACTCTATTGCTTTTCTTTATGACCTTGCTGAATGGTTTGGGAGTGGGATAGAGTATCTGGTACTCACATTTTCTCTATGTCGTGCTCACATTGTGTTTTGTACTCATAAAACAATAACACTCAGTGGATATATATTTTCCTCATTGCCCTTATGCAGCTTGAAGAAAGTAATTTAAGACTTATGCTTCTTGGCTATTGCATGGATAAAGATCCTGATGTCAAAGAAAGAGCCTTTGCCCTTATGGGTGTTCTTGCAAGAGTAAGCTGCAAAATACAAATTAATCTTTTCATTTAACATAACCAACAAGGGAAGTTTTGTGAGATATATATTACATATTCTAATAATGACTCTCTTTTTTCTAGACATATTCTAGATATATTTGTGTGTATAACAATGCTTTTTATTTGTGGTCATCGACAGGTGCACCCGGTCTATATACAACCCCTCCTACATGAGTTCCTCGATATCGCAAGCAAGCAAACGGTTGATACTTGTTATCCAAATTTTACTGCTACTATACCTATTATTATCTTCTATTGTATTGAAATGTATCTATGTTCTGAATAGGGTGTAGACGTTATTAGAGAAAACGTTAATGTCGCGGCTAATGCTTGCCGGACCATCGGGGAACTAGCTGTCAAGGTAATACCAAATACTATGTATGCTAAATAATGCTCGAAGCTTCTGCAATCTTGTGAATAATAGGAACTCAATCTTTCAGTTTTATCAAGAATTCTCATCACTTATAGTGACCAATGTTGTCCTTTCCCTAAGCATAATTCTTCATCAAGGAGAGGTAACTCCACCAACTTATATACTTAAATATTATCTTGGCCATGTCTATGTTTTTAGCAGAAGTATGCCTAAATTTATTTTCTTCTAAGGTGTGGGACAATAAGGCACTCATTGAGGTCATTTCAATAACCCTTGCGAGGCTAGCGTGGAATTTTCCAGAACTCGTCGCGCCTCAAATGGAGCACTACTTTGAGCCATGGTGCAAGTCATTCTCAATGTTAGTGAACCTTTCTGGTGGATTTAAAGTGTTCATCACATTCCTTAATTTTGCTCCACAGAATTTTTATAATTTTTTATCATACTATATTTTCAGGATCGATGATGACAGTAAAAAAGAAACATTTAGAGGGCTATGTGCAATGGTAATTTTGTCTATACTCTCTGATTTGTGCTTGTAACATGTAAATAAAAGTTTGAGAGTAACAAGTGTACTGCAAAAATTTAAGGTTACAATGAATCCATTAGGAGTTGGCAGCTCACTTTTTTTCATATGTCAAGTCATTGCGAATTGGCACGTAAGTGAATTCAAAACTAAGGGAATAGCTGAGAATTGTATATATATATATATTTCATGTGCTAACTACTTAACATGCATCCCTTTATGCAGCATGGTTATCTTGATACTCTGATGTACCCACTCATTGCAAAGTTGAACCAGCTTTCAATATCAGATAAAGATATCTTCCCATTGCTAAGATGCTTCGCATCCATTTCTCAGGTTTCCACAAGTTTCACATTGATGGAATATGTAGAACGTTTTTGTAGCATGAGCTCTTTATGTCTAACATATTGTGTTGCAATGTTTCAGCCTTTAGGTGTCCGATTCGCTCCATTTGCTCTGCCTGTTTTCCAGAGATGCATGGATATCATCGGAATCCAAGAGCTCGCCAAGGTTCTATTAATTCACAATTCTAAGATTTCTTAGTAACAGTTCATATTTTATTTTACTGGAATATATATATGTACATAACTATACCGCAACATTGTTGGTTTTTTCGTGTGATCAAAACTTGCTTCTCTTGTTTGTATAGGTTGGCCTTGCTCCTGCTGGGGCTCAGTATGACAAAGGATTCATCATACATTCTCTTGAGTTTATTTATGAACTTGTTGGAGGGCTTAAGAGTGGAATAGAGTCTCTGGTATTCACTTTTCACAAGTCCTCCCTTAGTGGATAACTCATTTAGTTTCTCTGGAGTTACATTATTGTGTTAATTTTTACCATCCGAATCATATATTATTTTCATCACTCTTATGCAGGTTTCACAAAGTTATCTAAGAGATATGCTTATCCAGTGTTGCAAGGATGAATCTCCTGACGTCAGAGAAAGAGCTTTTGCCCTTATGGGAGCTCTTGCAAGAGTAAGTTACAAAACATAATGTATACATAGTTTTCAATATGTTCATTTACCGTAAGCAACAAGGGGAGGCTATTTGAGATCTGTATGTCATAATTTTGACTCTCCTTAGCTATATATATATATATATATCAGTGTAATAAAGCTTTTTTTTTTACCATGTACTGACAGGTTTTCCCGGTCTATCTACAACCCCGCCTTCGTGAGTTCATCGAAATCGCAAGCCATCAACTGGTTGGTAACCAAACTTTACTGCTACCATACCTTTCAATTATCTTCAACTATTGTATTTAAATGGAACTCTATGTGTAGATCATTGAAAACATTACTAGCGAAACCCTTTATGTCGCGGCTAATGCTTGTTGGGCCATTGGCCATTTAGCGGTCAAGGTAATGATACCAAAACACTGTTTCTATTGAAGTTAAATTTTTCTAGTTAATAGCATGACTCATGACTAATAGAAACTCAATGTATCAGGTTGGTCAAGAAATGTCACCATTTGTTGTAAAATTCGTCTCTTCCCTGTGCTGGATTCTTGGACATAATGAGGTAACTCTAAACAGTTATAAATTTAAGACTCTCTTGACCATGTCTAAATTTTGTATTTCTTGTGATAAAGGGTTTCAATATGGCACTAGTTGATAGCAGTGCTATCACCATAGGGAGACTAGCATGGATTCGTCCTGACCTAGTCGCTCCGCTCATGGAGCACTTCATCGAGCCATGGTGCATGAATTTGTCAATGTTAGTTAACCTTTGTTTTAAATGTTCACACTCCTAGCTATATTTTGCTCCATTGAACATTTTTTTTTTTTTTTTCATTTTTCAGGTTAATTGATAGCAATAAGAAAGAAGATGCAATTAGAGGGTTATGTGCTGCGGTATGATCTTTCTTGCTACTCTTTACATTTTTGCTTGAAACATGTAAACCAAGTTTAGTTTTAACAAGTGGTCTACACAAAAACAGGTTAAACTGAATCCATCAGGAGTTTCTGAATCACTTTATTTCATATGCACAGCCATTGGGAGTTTTCATGTAAGTGCATGCATATAAAACTTATAACCGTCACATGACCTTCAAATTCAATCGTTATTGATATTTTTGGGATACTTCTTTTGATGTTTTAATCACAGGAAATAAAAAGTGAGGACGTGAAAATAGAAGTTTCTGAAGTGTTGAACGTCTACAAGAATGTAAGAGATATGCGTATTTTTTAAGTTTAGTGTTTAACCATATCATTATCAAGCACTTTCTGCTCATGTTAATTACAAGTAATTTCATGTCAAATGATTAATATTTTTGAACTAATCTTTTGGGTTCAGATGATGGGAAGAAGCTCATGGAAACAATGGCTCTCTCGTTTGGATCCTCTTGTCAAGGAAAGGCTTGCGATATATGAAGTGTAACATTGATTGATATGCTCTTCTCTTATACTCATTGCAAACAAGAACTGTGTTTTAGCAAAAAATGTTTTTAAGTTTCCTTTACATTTACATCCAAAATGGGATTTGTTGGATTTGGATTCATTATTTTTGCACTAAATAAGATTGGACTATGAGAACTCCCTTAATCAAGTTGTAGTTTTTTTTTCTCTAGAAAACAAAGAAAGAAAAGTTGTAAACTGGACTTGCTCGACTTAGCAAACATCTTCTGCTCTCATAGCTTCTCCAAAACCATACACGAGTCAACCTCGTGCTCCTCAGCAGTTTTAGAATAGATTAAAATCTCATCGATGAAGATAATGTGGAACTCGTCCAAATACTCTAGAAACATGTCGTTCATCAACCTCATAAAAGCCGTTGGTGCACTCGTCAACTCAAATGGTATCACCACAAACCCGTAGAGTCCATATCTCATCTCAAAGCCGTCTTCTGAACATCCGTCTCATCAATTGGGATCTGATGATAACCCGACGCCAAGTAAATCCTAAAGAACCAAGTAGCCCCTCTCAGCTGATTCAACAACTCATCAATCTGAGGCATAGGATACTTGTTCTTCATAGTGATCCGGTAAAGTTTTTGGTAATGGATACATAACTGGAAAGTTCCATCATTTTTCTTAATAAACAACACTCGCACTCCCCACAATGAACTATTCGTCCGGATAAAAATCTTACCCAACAATATGTGGGTTTTTCATAAAACAAAACAAAGCACCCGAAAAAAAAACCTGAAGACATCATCAAACCTGAGATCTTATGGGAAGGAGAAATATATTTACAAGTATTTCATAAAGCATTATTTTTATGAAAATATTGCACCCCATATATCTTGGCGCCCTAAGCCCTTGTTTAATGGGCTTTAATATACGACCCACTCTTACTAGCTAAAGTCTCTTATATTTTTAAAATTATCATTTTACCCTTCAATTTTTTTTTATTTACAATCATACCAACTACTTTTTTTTTCAAAAGTATAAAGCTTAAAAACTAAACCCTAGCTTATTTTATTTTTCTTTTTTCTTTCAACTAGTCGCCGTCAGCTCTCTCTCTTTCTCTTTCTCTCTCTCTCTCCGTCTCTTACTGCATCGTCAGTCTGTATCCCAATTGGATCTCTCTGTATCCGAGTCAGGTCTCTCTCTCTCATCGTCTGTTTGTTTCCTTTAGTACTACCAACTTTGGGTAAGTCTATTTTCCTTTCCGATTTATTTTCTTCTCGATTTGTAAAATTTCATACGATTTCGTTTATGTAAATAGTGTTTTAACCAAAGATTTTACTCTATTTGTGTTAGATTCATCTATTTCAGTTTATTAATGCTAAAAGGAAAAAAAAAACCATTATATGGCCTTCTTTTTTCTATTTCAGCATCATCTCTTGAATTCTATGGCATACAAGGCACAAGTATTAAAAGCACTAAGAGAAGATGTATATCTTACATCATCTAAATTTTGGTAAAATGATTTACTCTTATATTATGTGTTAATCATTTTCTAGCCTGATACTTGTCTTTACTTTTTTCTTATAACTATATTATTGTTTGCTAGGTCTGCATACTATCATGCTCAGCTACAACCAACTGACCTAAGGGAGTTATTGCCAAGATTAATTCCAGTATACTGATATTTATCCTTTCTATCCTTCATCATAGTGCACAATTAAACATTTTCTAAGTGGGTGTGGTTTAACACTTACATAAAATTTCATTTGGATTCTTTACAGATTTTGCTTTTAGACATGGCTTATGAAGATGGTGATGAGTCACTTTTGGATGACAAGGTTTCTTTTCCATTAATAATATATGGATTTATCACATTTTTTAGTATCAAATTTTTAAAACCAATTTACTTTTGCAGGATGATGAATCTCAACCAGTTCAGGTACAATTGTGTGTTATTGTAACATTCATATCTCATGGGTGAAGATAAACATTATCTATTTATTTTGTGTTATTTGATATAAAAGAACCCCAAGTTGTGTTGTATATAATACCATGGGGTTATACACTACATATACATAACTTATATAAATCACTTTTTTTTTTCTTACTGTCCTCTATAGGCACATAGTGGTGACTACTTGTTTAACGTGGGGAATGTAAGAGCATGCAATGCAAAATTTATTGGCATTCTCTCAAATGTATATGAATATGAAGTTTTTGTAACGCTCCTGCCCCTTGCTGAGGTAAATGTTATAATTTTTTTCTCAGTATATATGGAATTGAAAACAATTAGCTAAAAACATGTTCTTCTAGGTAAAATTGAAAAGATGTGATGATGAGACTTGGAAAGAAAGGGAAGCTATTGTTTTTGCTCTTGGAGCTATTGCTAAAGGATGCCGTAGATTACTTTACCCTCATTTGGATGAGGCAAGTTCATTTTTTGATCTTTTATTATTATCATACATATGTGATATTTAACCTTTAATACAAAGTTTATCAATAACACTTGAGTGTCTTGTCTATAGCAGATTTTAAAAATGCTTCTTCATCTTTTAAATGATAAGTTTCCTCTCATACGAAGCATATCATGCTGGACAATTTCTCAATATGGCAAATATTTTGTTATCCAGGTAATATATATGATTAAGAACATGATATTTTGTGATTTCATTTTTATTTATTTAAACAATCTTTAGATGATTTGTAACTATTATTTTACAGAAAGAAGATGCTGCACTATTCAATAAAGTTCTTAACAGTCTTCTTCACAAACTTTTTGATACAAACATGCGAGTCCAGAAGTTTGCATGTCTAGCTTTGATAACTCTTGAAGAGGTAACTATATTTACTTTTTAACTATTAAATTACTAATTTTTAAATCATATAACTAGCATACCAAAAATATCCAAAACTACACAATAATGAATAGATATATATGACTAAAAATATTTAGATATAATAATAAGGTGGTCATTTTTTCTGTATTATTGCTTGAACTAGTACAGAAGTTTTGTCCAATTAAAGAGATAGTTCCTGAAACGACCCAACCCTTTTTCTTTTTGATTTATTACGTAATAGTCTCATATTTACTAATTGACCTAGCTGAATTAAACTAACAATAAACCATTTTCCTAACAAGCAATCAAAAGCACAAACTGCGCTCATAGAAGACGGGTGTAGATCGATACCCAAACCTGTAATACTGCAGCCTTGGTAAAGACCGATACCCACACCTGCTGTCGATCGACACCCTATAAAACTACACTTAGAAATCCTAATTCACCACCACATCACCTCCCACGATGACACCTCCTCGGAATAACCACACAAGGCCATACAAATACTAAAAACATCACAAAACACTAAGAAATCAATCCACATATCATATAATCCCAAATCCACACAATCTTAATGTTTAGATAAGCCATGGTCACGCACTCACTTCTAGAACAAGGAAACCCAAACCAACCACGAAAGAGACACATCACAGCAAGCCTCTCATACGCCTCTAGCCTTATATCTTCACTTCCAGGAACATATCTCAAGTACAAACACAAAACTCTCTAGAAACCTTCAGGAACCTCTAAAGAACTCTCTTCTCTTATTTTTATCTTTTAGAAGTAACAAAGTGACTAACCACACACTAGGGCGTCGACTTTAGCCTTTTAAACAACCCCTAGGGTTTCCCCAAGCCAAACCAAGCCTAACCGAATTATTTTAAAACGAACAACCACCAAATTAGTCGTGTTGACCGAGACCCTCGCATGGTGTTGCTCGACACTCAACTAATTTGACACATGAGCATTATAATTCTTCCCCACTAACATAGATTCGTCCTCGAATCTGTAAACACTGTCTATCCACAAGACGCACTTCACTGTTGTCGCAACGGTTTGCCTAACAACTATTGAAATACAAACCAATATCCCACATCGGAAGATTAGAAATAGAAGTTTCTAATATATAAGTCAAGTCCAACTCCAATTAGTATGAGGCCTTTTGGGAAGGAGCCCAACAAATCCGTGCGGGCTTGAGTTATATGCTCAGAGCGGACAATATCATACTAATGGATAGTTGGCTTGGGTTTAGAGATCCCAACAACAACCGGACCATCCAATCGACACAAACCTTGCTCACCAGCCAACACCAACCTAGCCCACCGGCGAACATAATCATGGGCCACCAACCAACACAATTCTGGCCCACTTGACAACACAAACTTGGCCTACCAGCCAACACAACCTTGGCCTATCTACCAACACAAACCTGGTCCATCGGCCAACACAACCCTGACCCCACCGGTCAACACAACCCAAACCTGAGATTGAACCACCATCAACTTCCGAGGTCTCCAACTAGTCTCTATGCTTATACCAAGACTCTATACATAATTTGCTCGTAACTCAACTACTTTGAATCACGACCTTCGAGCCATACTGATACCAGGGGAACCACCATCCCCTCAGGAGAAGCCCCATCCCTTCCAAGAGAATCACCATCTCCTCTTCCATTCTCAAGACCGCATCCCTTCGAACCATCTCTATCCAAGAGAACAACCATCTCCTCGTGAGTTATCCATGATCCACCGTCCTTAGAGCAAACGAACTATAAGTCTCTGAGCATATCTTGACCAAAACTATCAAAATAGTCAAAGTACGACATTACTATGCCATACATGCCCATCCATATTCCCACCCAGAATATCATCTTCAGCGTAACTATTCTTCAGGTCAACTCCCATACATCCCCACCACTCAAGATGTTTGCACAATAGTTTCTAAAAATAGACAAGTCTAACCACTTCTAAACTTTCCATTTTAAGAACCGCATAACCCCATAACTCCATGACGCACAAGTAATAAATCCACTCTAACAACCTCGTCGACCAATCTGCAATACTGGCGCACAACTTGTTACCACACCCACAACATCCATGGACCTCCAACAACACAAGGAATCACACTGTCACAACCTTAGAACCTCTACCTGACCCGCATACCAATTCTCGACAAACTAACTAGTGGCACTCTCCCCACTCCCGACAAAGTAATAATCCATTTCTAACAAATCCACCACTGAAGACACGCGCTCCCGATCACGACCACCACAACCACTACGAGCACCACGATCACAACCTCTAGCCTCCTACACATCCACAATTAGGAACACAAACCACACTTTACCTGCATCACAAACACACTAAGATGCGTGAGTATTATCACAAATACTCAGTGAATCGATCATCCCATCTACTAGGCTATACACACAAGCAAATAAGATCACAACCACACTACCAAAAACAGCCAAACCATGCAATCAAAAGCACAAAGTATGCTCACAGAAGACTAGTGTCGGTAGAAACCCAAACCTGGTGTAGGTTGACACTACTATAGAACGGAAATAGTTTTTCCTTGGTGATGACCGATACCCCACCTTGTGTCGATTGACACCCTACAAAACTGCACTACGACTAAATGACTGGTGTCGATCAACAATCCGCTGGTGTCGTTCGACACACACACACCCTGGAACACCACCCATGACGATCTCCTCCGCCAGGAAACCTAATTCACCATGATATCGACACAGCCAATAGCCACATAAGGCCATACGAACACCTGAAAACAACAAAAAACACAAGGAAATCAATCCACACATCATATAATCATAAATCCACACAATCTTAATGCTTAGATAAAACCATGATCATGCACTCACCTCTAGAAAAAGGGAACCCAAACCAACCACAAAAGAAACACACCAAAACAAATCTCTCACACGTCTCCAGCCTTAGATCTCCACGTCCAGGAATATATCTACCAAGCATAGCCACAAAACTCGCTGGAAAACTTCACGAATCTGTTAGGAACTCTCTTCTCTTATTTCTCTTTTTTAGAAGCGACAAAGTGACTAACCACACACTAGGGCGTCGACTTTAGCCTTTTAAACAAACCCTAGGGTTTCCCAAACCTAAACCAAGCTTAATCAAACGATTTTAAAGTAAACCGAACTACCACCAAAATTAGTGGTGTCGACCGGTACCCTCCCATAGTGTTGCTCGACACCAACTATTTGAGATACGAATGTTACAGTTCCATGAACCCATAATTATGTTACGTCCAAAATCAAGTTAAAAGTATCAATATATGGATCTTTGTTGAGAAATAATATTTTGTTTTTCTGTCAACATGCAGGACGCTGGTGAAAAATTAGTGCCACACCTGGATGTCATACTACAGTATCTAATATGGGCTCTTGATAATTATGAGGTCGTTAAATCTTCTTAAAGTTCACTTATATTGCCATACTATATAAATCATTGTGTCAGCTATATATTATTAATCTCAAACATTACATTATTTTATTTGTGACAACCTAACACATTTTTTCCATACATCCAGGGGCAGACCTTAAAGTATCTCTATGCTTGTATTGGAGAACTAGCAAATTCAGTTAGTGTCGAGTTGGATGAGGTATGTATATGGTTAATTTGTTCTTGTAAATTTAGCTATCTGGTGAGTAATATAATACTGGTCGTATCACATTTTTCAACCTAATTAAATATACTAACCCCCTTATGCAGCCTCCTCTTGAGAATTTGATGCCCCCACTGTCTTCAAAGTTGCATCAAACTTCACGTTCAGATAAAAATGTAATTCATTTGCTAAAATGCGTCAAATCCCTTTGTGAGGTAAGTATAGATGTACGGTCTTTGAACTATTATTACAAAAATGAAAATTTCTTAAATGATTCTAGTAATTGAAAATTTTGGTAGCTTTTTTAATTAATATGGTGATTCAAAGTTCTCGATTAGTTTGAAAGCCTATTAATATTTTCTACTACTAGTAAAAGATTTGTGAACAATGTTAGACAAGTTCATCTTAACAAAAATAGTAAAATGTTTTTGTAGCATGAACTATCTATTTATGACAAGTTTTGGTTCCATGTTTCAGGCTATAGAAGTAGGATTGTCCTCATTTTCTCAGTCTGTTTTCTCGACGTGTCTGAGTTTCATGCAACAAGAACTTGATAAGGTTCAACTTTAGAATTCTATAAATTCATTTTATTTCAGACTATTGCATCCTTTTAATTTTTTTGTTGTTTAACTATAGTGTACTTGTGTTGTTTTTAGATTGACCATGCTTTTCCTGGGGGTAAAGACAACAAATGTATCATTGTTAGTTCTCTTGAACTTCTTGCTGCACTTTTGGAAGGGATGGGCAGTGAGATAGAGTCTCTGGTATGGCTGTTCCTAATGTCTTGTTCACGCGGTTTTATGTTCATAAGTTCTGATGATCATTTAGTGAACTACTCAATTAGTTTCTTTGATATTAAAGTTGAGTAGTTTTATAACATGACCAATGTCTATTGTCAAAACCAGATGTATACTCACATGCATCATCGCTCTTACGCAGGTTTCACAAAGTAATCTTATGGACTTGCTTCTCAAGTTTTGCATGGATGAAACTCCCGCTATTAGAAAAGCTGCTTTTGACCTAATGTGTGATTTTGCAACGGTAAGATATATTTTATCAAACTATTTTCCTTTAACTTAATTAGATATCAATGAGAGTGATAGCTACTAGTTATTTGAGATTATATCCCATAATTTTGAACCTTTTGTGCTACATCTGTTATAAATAATCATGTTTTTTTGGCAATGACTAACAGGAATCCCCGGTTTGTTTACTGCCCCGCATGCATGAGTTCCTCGACATCGCTAGCCAAAAACTGGTTGGTATCTATTTTATATGCTATTAGTGTTCTATATATTGTATTTGATTATATTGATGATTTGTATAGAGTGGAAATTTGACTGGAGAAAACCTAGCTTCCGCAAACAATGCTAGTATAGCCATAGGAGAACTGGCATCCAAGGTAACACCAATATATTATTTATTTTCGATGTATGCAGTTTCTGATTAAGTACAAACTTGTGAATGATAAAAACTTAATATATATTTCAGTTTCGTCAGGAAGTCTCACCATTTGTAACCAATATTGCCTCTTCTTTGGGGTCAATTATACAACATAGAGAGGTGACTCTAGCTATAGTCTTATAAATTCAATGTTTTATTGGCCATATCTAACTATTCCTTTTTTTTTTCTTTTGGTGAATAAGGCCCATCTTGAAAGGACTGCAGTTACCTTGTCTATACAAAAAGAAATTGACCTAGCTGTTAATAGTGCCATTACTTTGGGAATATTAGCATGTATTCGTCCAAATCTCCTTCCACCACACATGAAGTTTTTCATGAAGTCTTGGTGCAAGACACTGGCAACGTTAGTGATCCTTGTTTTTTTTTTGTTTTTTTGGATTTGGAGTCTTTTTACACTCCCATAAAACACTTTCTTTCATGCTTTCTTTTCAGGTTAGAGGATGACTCTACTAAAGAAACTGCTTTTAAAGGATTATGTAAAATGGTATTTTTCTCTACTTTTTACTTTATTATAACATTTGAATAAAGTATGATATGTTACAAGTGTTCTCCATATATCAGATTAAAGCGAATCCATCGGTAGGAGCCAGCTCTGTTGCTTACATATGCTTAGCCTTTGGAAGCTGGGAAGTAAGTGAAAATAATTTTTTATTGTAATGACTCTCCTAGCTCAATTCGATATTTTGACTAAGTTGTGGAACATTTGGCTAATACACAAATTAAATGGCATTTTTTTATCATAGGAAATAGAAGACCAGGACCTCCAAGACGAATTCATCCGTGTGTTGAACGGCTACAAATCCGTAAGATCATTACCATAGATCCTCAAGCGCCTGTTAGTGTACATTAGAAGTATTGTGATGTCAAATGATTAATGTCTTTTGTTTATACTCTTTTTTGTGTTCAGATGCTTGGAAGAGACTGGGCTGATGTTATAGCTGAGCTGGATCCTAATTATAAGGAAATGATTATGAGGTGGTATCCAATGTGATATTGATCATCGATTAGTCTCAACTTATGAGAGAGCTGCATTGGTTGGTTTATTCTCATTGCAAACAACAAATACATATTCATAGACTTTGAGCAAAAGGTGTCTCATCAGTTGCATTTATAATTTAAAAATACATTACGTTGGATTTGGATTTGGAGTTGGATTAGGATCCATGATTTATTCACAAACTAATTGGACCAATGGTAAATTTGCAATCAAGTTATTTTAAAAGAACAAATATCATAGCTTTTCTTTTAGGGATTATTACATAATTTGCTATTTTTTGCTCACATTTTTTGGAGTTACCATTTTGTTGAAAATATTTTAGATTTTCCATTCTTACAACTTTAAAAGTATATATTTCAAAAAAATTTTTTGCTAAAACACATATTTCGTAACAAATACTAAACCTTAAAATAATATGGAACAAAAAAAAATTAAACATAATATCTTAATTGTATTTTAAATACAGAAATATGATAATCATAAAAGATTTTAACAAAAATAGAAAAATCCACAAATACCACTAAACAAAGTGATTTTTTTTTCTTAATTGATTTTTTTATTTAATCTATATTAACATTTTTGAAGTACCTTTTGTGTTCTACCCTTTTATTTTCTATTATTTGCGTAATTAAACTCTTACCATTTGAATAAATAACAAAACTTTAAGGTAAATTATGTAATTATATCATAATAAAATTGCAAAATTAGAAATCAATATTTATTACATTTAACAAAATTTCCTAAAATCTCTCCCTAATAAATCAGATATTTCTCCAATATCTTTATATGATCTTTTTATTTTAAAATTTATATTATTACATAAAACATATGTATAATAAAAATAGATTTTTTTTTTTTTGCATATGTTGCAATTTGAATTTTCGAAAACGGACGTATATTACTCAAACGATACAAAAATGTATAAGCTAAAGTATTATTGATAATTGTGTAGCACGGGTCATGTAATGGAGCGGGTTATAATTTACATAATTATGATTATAGATATTTTTACGGATTCTCTACTACAGTAAAACTCACAAAATATTTTTATGAAACTTAAAAATCAAAATTCTTGAATGGAAGATTACAACAAAAAAAATTTACTAAATTTTAGGGAATCCAAAATTTTAAAATCTTGATTGGTTAAAAATGAGTTTTTGGAAAACAAAAACCAAAATCTCTCTCGAAATCTATAAAACATTCAAGGTTTATATTTTACATAAATATGATTTAACGGGTTTGAGTTTTATGTTTTTCTTACGGGTTATCTTACGGGTTAACAAAACAAAAAAAAATAACAGATATAACTTAAACATAATTTTTTAGTCCCACGAGTTACAAAAAAAATATCCCGCGAGTTAAGTAATAAAAATAACAATAAAAATATAGTTACACAATCTTAAACACTAAAAAGGTAATAAAATTAATAAATATAACTTAAATATGTATATTTTTAAGTCAAAATAATCCCGCGGTGTACCGCGGGTTAACACCTAGTTATTAGTAATTAGTGAATTATTTCAAAAAAGTCAAAGTCTTTGTTAAATAAATAAAATTAAAATCTGACTTCCAGCCAAAACTGGCATATAATCAGAAAAAAGATATATCTCATGAAAAAATTAAAATAGATGAAGAAAAAAATAAAGAAATTAAAACTCTTCAGGAATACTTCGTAACGCAGGAGTCCAACATGACGCCCCTTTCTTCTCCACCACCTTGGCATGGTGTTTTCTTCGTAGTTGTATCAATCTTTGTTCAACCAACGACGGTCTTAAAACGTCGTCGTATCCAACTCCATCGTCACCTTTGTAAATAAGCTTCTCCATGTCACATTTCTTTACCAACATTCTAATCCTGATCACTCCATTCACCTTAGTTTGCTCGTAAACAACACCGTTTCGCTTCGCCAGCTCTAATGCTCCGATCAAGTTGTCCTTCGCCAGCCGCTTGCTCCGGAGGTCTTTTACCAAACTCACTGCCCGATATATTCCTCTCTTCGATAGTAACGTTCTCTTTAGCTCCATATCTATATATTATTAATATGATCTTTGCAATGGGTTTTGGAGATATCTGTTAGAGTCACGTACGTAGATGAGTATATATAGTATGATTTATATGGTCTAATACACAGGATTTAGCGTGTTATAATAAGAAATGGCTGGCTAATAATTGATCTAATTCGATTATTAATATATTTGACCAATGGTAATCATTGTATGTATATATTGAAATTAAATTTTCATTGGTGATTGATATTTTTCATGCAACAGGGTGTATTTGACTTTTGTATTTTTATGTCGTAATTAATTATATTACAGCAACTTTTGTATTTTATAGACTAAAATTGTTTTTGGTCTTTTCAGACAGGCTCGCAAAAATTGACATTGGTTCTTATTAGCAACGTTCTGAACCAATTAATGGAAACTCATATAAGATGTTACAATTGTTAGAGTTTATGGCAAGTTGGTAACAAGATGTCGTTTTTTATATATATTATAATGATTTATAAGTGTATAAGCTAAAAAAATTCTATAGTAAGTTGATCACTAAGTGTAAAAGAGTTAAATTATTAAAACAAACACAAATAAGTATAAATTAAGAAATATTCAAACTCATGTTTTCTTTGTAGTTATTGTTTTCCTCTTTTGCGCAATGCTAATGATAGTACATACTAAGTATAAATTTATCTCACAGTTACGAAAAACATGATCATAGCAAGTCCACACAAACTAATACAATGGCACAACATACACAATCACATATATACAACTTAGGTATCACTTCATAAATTCTATTTTGTGCATGACTTTATATATTGTAGTCTAAAAATATTGACCTTAGTACGCAAGACATGCAAAATGAAATCAAGCAAACAAGAAGATATTTGCATAAGGAGATAGGTTAGCAGAATTCACTATAGTATACATAATATATGGATTTAGAAAATACCTTTCAATATGAGTTAATATTTAAAATTTCTAGTATAATACTACCTTACTATGCATGAAAATTCATTACTATTCCCAAAATCATCATTTATTTATTAAAAATAATAATTTCACCTTTTTAATGATTAATTAATTTAAATTTCATTGTATAAAGACAATGGCCAGGGTGTTACACTCAGTGACTCAGCTCAACTAAAAATACTCTATCAAAAACTATTATATATGATTTACCAAAAAGAGTAATCACTATATTAACATTGGCACGTTTATGGATATATCTACAGAAGATACATTGATAATCAAGAATTAGAAGTGAGAGTTAAGGAAAGGATCAGAGAGATGGCAGAATATGGAGAGCTTAGACACATTCTGACGACAGTTTTCCTGTCAGGATTCGCCGAGTTCTTACTGAGGCCAGTGATGACTGATGTCACCGTCGCCGCGGTTTGCTCCGGCCTAAACAGTACATGTTCTCTCGCCGTCTATCTCACCGGAATAGAACAAGTGGTATCAACTTCTACCTATATATTTGTTTTATTTTGTTTTTGTTCTGATTGGAGTTAATTTGCTTGTATTAACTGTGAATCAAATACTTGCAAATTGTTTTTTTTTTGCTTCTTTATTGTAAGAATCTTAAAAAGGTTAAACTGATTAATGTAAACTTTTTTCTTACGGTGAAAATGGTAAAACAAGACGGTAGGACTAGGGACAATGGTCATGATGCCAGTAATTGGGAATTTTGCCGACAGATATGGAATCAAAGCATTGCTCACTGTTCCTATGTGCCTCTCTATTCTTCCTCCAGGTTCCTTTTTCGAAAATCATAATAAAAAAAATGCTTATACACAATGTATAGACTATAGTTCTAGTGTTTCTCAAATATGAAAAGACTCAAAAAGATAGATGGTGAAAAATTTTATATGCAAAGCCAGTCACTAGCTATATTATATATATGTACCAACTACCAATAATTGTAGAGTTAATAACGTTTAAGAAACTAGCCACTTTAAATCACGTACCAATAATAAACCTAAGATGCCTTTACTCTTTCTTTGTTTATCTGATCGTGGACACCTCACGATTCCATGAGTATAGAACAGTGTCAACGTAAATAACTACTATTTTTGGAAGGTACTATTTGTTTTTGTCAAGTGTTATTTTTATAGGACTACGCTTTCTCTACTAGAATGAAAATTGTATAAACTGTAAATAATGTGAAGAAAAAAAAAATAAGAAACACAATCAAATTGCAACTGTTTTCTACTTGCAATACAAAAGGCTAATGAACGGTAGGACTGTGTGCACAAGCTCAACGAGAAAACATAGAAGTAGACGATGAAGTAGACTTATTTGATGTTGATGGAATGAGAGAAATGCCTAATTTTATTCTCAAATTTATGGTGAATAATAATAATCTTGTAAACTAATTAGCAATTAATTTGAGCCATATATAATGATGAAGAGTTACATGTACAGTTACGTTGTTTCTTCTTAATTCACTGTCATCATATAACAATTTTGAAAGCAAATTTTGTCATATGTTTTGATAAAATGTAGTAATTGTTTTTTGCAGCGATATTAGGTTATAGAAGAGATACAAATTTCTTCTACGCATTTTACATAACCAAGATTTTATTCGATATGGTCTGCCAAGGCACTGTTGATTGTCTCGCTCATGCTTATGTGGTAAATATTTTTTTTCTTTTAAGTATGAACATATTATATCATATTTTTAAAAAGCTCATAACACTATTTTGAGACCAATTTTGTTTAATTATATTAATTTTCAGGCGAAAAATGTTCATGTAAGAAAAAGAATATCAACGTTTGGAGTTTTAGCCGGTGTTAGATCAATTTCAGCAGTTTGTGCAACATTCTCAACTCGTTTTTTACCCATAGCTTCTACTTTTCAGGTAATCACATATAAACTAACCAAAACTGAAAAAAAATTAAAAAATGATCAAATCATATACAATTAATTTCTCATTTTTCTGAAGTTTTGTTTTCATAACTATATGTATCTATATATTAGGTTTCAGCTATATCATTCTTTGCTGGCTTGGTGTACATGAGAATTTTCTTGAAAGAGAGATTACATGATGATGATGGAGACTATGATGAGTATAATGGCGGTGGAAATCATCACCATGAGGTTCGTGATCGTGGTAATCTAAAGATGTTAGGAGAGCCCATTCTAAGAGATGCACCAACTAACACACCCGTCTATAGCACTACTACATATTCGACTTTGCAAGATATGGTCAGCTTGTTAAAAAATAGGTACTTGTATATATATATATATATAATTTAATATATGCATGGTTACATTTACATACATGTTTATCTAAAATCCTAAATGGTCAATATGTGTTTTTATAAAACAGCACCATACTCGTTCAAACATTGGTTGTGACTTTCTTTGCTACCTTTGCACAAAGTGGAATGCAGTCTGCTTTCTTGGTTTATCTCATCTCCACACTTTTTACATTCTTTATCTTTACTTATAAAAATCTATTAATATTAACACAAAATGATTATACTTTTTTAATAACACAGTATTTTTTAAAAGCTCGTTTTGGGTTCAACAAAAATGACTTTGCTGAGCTCATATTGTTGATAACCATCATTGGTTCCATCTCCCAGGTAAACACTGTTAAAGATATGCATGTAATTATCATTTATAGAAGAGATTTTTTTTAATGGTCATTGATATTTATATTTTTTTCAGCTATTTATATTGCCGATATTGGTTTCTTCCATTGGAGAACGTAGGGTTTTATCAACAGGGCTTCTTATGGAAACCTTCAACGTAAATTTTTTTTTTTTTTTTTTTTTTTTTAAAAAAACTTTCTCTTGTCTCAGTTTCCTCCATTGCATCTATGAAATTGTAAATAAATTGATCTTCTTGATTAAGGATACTATATAGAGCTAATTATAATGATTTTGGTTATGTGCTTGTGGTGCAGGCAGCTTGTCTTAGTGTTTCGTGGTCGGCATGGGTGAGTTCAGCTACGAACTATATATATATATTACTAACATAATCATAATTTTTTTGTCACTCCATATCTATAGTTTTAAATCCGTTTTTTCATTGGTTTTTAGAGTTATTTACAATATATATCATAATCATTTCATACTTTTATTAACCAAAAAAGAGAAATCAGAAACAAAATTCATATTTTACAAGTTTAGCATGACTATTTTAAAAACAATCATTGAACTTTGGTTGAAAGTTAAAAATTCCTTCGAGATCAAAATCGTTGGTTCAAGAGCGGTCGAGAGCGATTAAACATATAAAATATTTCAAATTCCATAGGATTGTTTTGTTCAAACAATGTAGGTTCCTTATGCCACGACCGTGCTTGTACCCGTAGCCATGTTCGTGATGCCTTCCGTAAGATTCACTCGCCTTCACCGGTATTTTTAGCTCTAATTATATACGAATAATGTTTTTTACGTCGATTAATTAAACAAAACTAATTTTGTTTTATAGGTTTGTGGTATTGCTTCAAGACAAGTGGGAGCTGGTGAACAGTTACGATTACCGTGAATATAAACATTTCTCATTGCAGCAAATTACTCTCTTGTTAATATCAACGTGACAACGTGTTAAAAAAATTAAAGAGACAGAAATTTCATCTAAAAATATAAAAGAGGATTATAGTAAACATATATACACATTAATCTATATATTTTCGTCAATTTTTCGTATTTTCCAACATGAATCGAATTAATCAATTGGACCTAATTAGTAAACTTGATCGTTTCCATATCGTATTTTGTACAGGGAAAGGTCCAAGGATACATATCCGGGGTCAAGTCATTTTCTGGAGTCGTGGCTCCATTGATATATAGTCCACTCACAGGTAGACTTTGAACATTACTCATTCTTAAGTTCTGAAGCAAATGTTATCGAGTAAAAATAATATTTCTAATCGCCATTTAACGTTTAAGATAACTCATTTTTGTATGACGATATATTATAGCATTGTTTCTATCCGAAAACGCACCGTTTTACTTTCCTGGATTCAGCATTCTATGCGTTGCACTCTCCTTGGTAATAATCATCACACTTGCAAGTTGCAACCATCTCATTTATATGTATAATTATGCATTGACTAACCATTGGTTAACCATGCACAGTTGATCGGGTTCCTTATGAGTCTTCTGATAAAAGATGTTCCTTCTACGTCAATGAACAAAGCATCAATAACAATTGAAAAGGAGGAAGCTTGATCACAATGAGATATCGCATGAAAAGCAAATGTATCTTAAATCTTGAATTGGTTTTATTTCAATATATCATTTTCTAGGGACGCTTAGCTATATATATTTGCTACTCTTCGCTTTAAAAAGAGAGTCTGGCTATATGGCAGATAAAACATACGATCCACGGCTAACGGCGTTTCTTCGAAATCAACCAAGAATAAGCACAAATATTATAAAAAGTTTTAATTTACTTAAATAAAAAATTCAGATTAATTCGAATATTACTTTTTAAAATTTGGACGTCTAGAAATCAAGATTTTTGCTTATTCGTAGTTGAAAGTAGATTGGTCAAATTTATAAAGGGTAGAACCATTGTCGAAAAATTATGTCATATGTGGACTGTTGAACTTTTTTATTGATTAAGTAATATACGTTTATGTTCAAAAATTCAAAATACAACATATCTGATTATTTGTTTTTTGCATTTTTGTTATAAATTATGTTTTATATAATAAAATAAATTTGAAAAACAAATAATATTATAAAGATATCGGACAAATATTTGAGAGAGGGAAATTGAAAAATCTGAAAATGGTATTTTGTTTTTATTAGGGAGAGAGTTTAGGAAATTTGTTAAATGTGATAATTATTATTTTCTAATTTTCTTAATTCAATGGTAAATGCCAAAGGCATATGATTGTAAACAAGTTCAAACCTTAAGGTTTTTTTCAAAAATATACTAAAAATGTATACACAAGGCAAAATCTAATCAAAATAAGAATCACCACAAATTTTGCACAAATCGAGATTTGATTAGTATCAAAATCAAACCTTTGACTAGAATCAAAAACAAAATACACGAGATTTATTTAAATTTTATCTCGTAAATCTAGGTTTATGAATCATATATGCACAAGTTAGTCTTATACTTACTATTATAAATATGATTATATGCTTCATGTTTTTCCCAGTGTTGTTTTTCCCACCTTTGTTCTTCCATTCATTATTCTTAACTTCTGTGCCTAGCTGGTAACAAGTTATATGATTAATGTAAGACTGAATATAAAATGTATAAAGCTAAAACCTAATTCTCCTTATTTTTTTAAAATTCATTACAAGCATATTATTTTACTATTTCTACCTTTTAATCTTCTTAAAACTTTGATTGTTTTTCACTTAAGCCATGAATATTATGAATTTTTTAGTTTTCTGATTTTCGGTGTAGATTTTAGTTTATGCAATATCTTGAACGGTAACTCACTATTTTAGTTTATGTATATTTTCTGGGTTTTTCCATTCTATGAACAAATAATCAAAATTTCTTAATACCTAGTTTCCCTATATGTTTTTAAAGGAAATCTATGGCTATTAAACTATTTTTTGTAAAATAAAATCAAAAATCAAAAATCTACTAACATTGAAGGCCTTAACACGAAACAAACCCACTTAACTAGTTGGGTCTTAATTAGTCAATCTGGCCCAATGGATTCTTCTTTCTCTTCGTTCCTTCATCTTCTCCTCATGCTCGATTCTTTGTGAAGGATTTTATCAAAGATGAGATTCCAATAAGAAGATCTTCTCTATAATCGAGAAATTACGAGAACCTAGCCTCGCCGGATCACCGTATCTTCAGTACGACGCCGTTTAATCTCCCGGAGGAGCTACACACAGTGATTGATCTTTTTTCTTCTTCTTTTGGTGCTCTTAGAATCTCGAATTGGGAGTTTTTGATTGATTCTGTAACTTTTGGGTCTCTGTGATTGAGACATTTGACGATGGGGATAAGCAAAACGGAGATCAATTTCCGGAGATTGCTTTCCGCTGCACCTAATCAGCAGAATCAGTCGAAGCTTATTCATGTACGTTTCTTTGGATCTTCTTCATGTGTTGTTATTATTGTATTGATGATGAAACAAATCTTTGTGCAGTATGTTGCTACATTGAGGGAACTATTAGAACAACTCTCGGAAGAGAAGACCCCTGAAGGGCTTCCCAGGTTACATATACTCTCTGTATCTTTTTACTGATTCAGCATTTTGTGCAATTTTGAAGATTCCTGCTTTGGTGTTTGACTTTTGATAACATCTTATGGTTAGAGATTTGAATTGCATTGCATTGGTTGAGAATGGTTGGTTGCTTATTGTCTCGTTTGATCTCTTTGTCCAGAGTTACAAAAGCTAAGGTAAATGAGTATTATGAGAAGATTGAAGCTGTTGCTTCGAAGATAGTTTCTCAAGTGGTAAGTCACCTGAACTAGAAAAAGGACTCTTCTTTTCATTCCTATAGCTAGGATATTATGAGTAATGTGTTAGAAATGCATTTAGGTTCTTGCTCCCCACTTTTTTCCTAGATGGATTTGGTCTGAGGAACTGTTTCCCATTAGTTTAGTTTCAGGAACGCACGTTTTGGTTTGTTCCTGCATAGAGCCATTGTTTTAGTTGCAAGAATTTTCAAGTTTTACGTTCTGTAACCAATACCAAATTATTGATTTTCGCTAAATTTACAGCCTGACACAGAGGTATCTGATGAACCCTTTGCCAAAGATTCCACTAGTGGGAGCTCACCGAAAATAGAAGATGATCCTCGAAGCCCTACTTCTCCACAGCTGAGAAGAAGAATCGTGTAAGGGGAATTTTAGATTCACATCCTTCTCAAGTTGTAAATTCTTTTTCTTTATTAATTATCAGCTTCCTTGATTGAGGTAGGCCTGCAAGTTCCAAGGAGCAAAGCTTTGATGCTGTTGATGGTGATTCATCGAAACAAATAAAATTAGACTCTGCAGCTCAAGCGAACATTGACAAGCACAGGTAGTTTCATAGATCACCAAGAGGAACTAGGAACTTAATTCTATCTGTGCACTTTCATTGATTGAGCAAAAATTATCGCAAAGAGGAAAGCTTTGTTCTTTTTGAATTTTAAGTTGAATTTGCCACCTCATGTCACGTTGGTAATTCATTTGATGACAGAAAGCTTCAAGAGGATCTAACCGATGAAATGGTGGGACTTGCAAGACAGCTCAAGGAGAGAAGTCAAGCGATAAGCCAATCTGTGCAAAATACAGAAAAGGTCCATTCCTCACAATACCCCATTTTATTCTTACTATTATCAACAACAATGGGATAAGAGAAGAATCTACATTTTGATTCCTATATTCTTTTAACTGGCTTCACTGGTCCTAACATTAATGTTTCTTTCTTTTGATGTGGATTCATTAACATTAGATACTTGACTCCACCGAGGAGGCCATTGAGCAAAGCTTAGCGAGCACAGGACACGCAACCACAAGAGCCACAAAGATATATTCACAAAGCTCAAAGACAAGTTGCTTCCAGTGGCTACTGATCTTCGCCATGACCTGTGTGTTCATAATGGTTGTCCTGTTGATCCGAGTTACATAGAAAATGGTTCGGACTGAGAATCAGATTAGTGAAACTCTAAAGTACATTACAGTTTGTTAAAGTTATGTTGCCTTGGTGTAAATTCTGAGTTGGATATGTGAAATCAAACATGAGACCTTTGATTCTGAAGAGATTTCTGGTTTACATTTTGAGAACTGAAACCTCTTAATTTAATGGTTTTTATTTTTATGTTATAACTGTTTATTTAGTTTATTTTTATGTGTTATAGTCAGAAACTTATATTATGGCTTGTAAAAAAGAAGTGGTCATCATGCTTGATGGCCATATGGGAACTAAGTTAGCAAACACATGAATCATGTCAAAATACATACCTATTGTTAACAATATTATGCATCTACTACTGGATTTGGTTTGATTTGTCTGACCCAAAAAGACTGGGGACGACAACATATTCGCTCATTCTACATACAAAATCCACTTCACGAATCACCTACCACATGGGGTTATCTATTACTTGTAAACTTGAGAACTAATGGCCAGAGCCATGAGCTGCTGCCAAAGATACTTAAGGGCCTGGCCACATGCTCTTCAGATTACTTAGGTCCGTTTCATGTAGATGCATGCAAGGAGATAGCTCTTCAGGTTCATTTACACCGCTTAATGAGATCCACATTACAACAGCAAATGTAATTATAAATAGTTCAAGTACGTTTAACTAAAATAAAACACATATATAAGAAGAATTCTTACATCATAGAGAATAATACATCATGGAAACAATACTAATGAAAAAAAAATGAAAATACTTATATAAAGACAAAAAAAGAACATCAACAATTTTGTTTTATGAATCAAGCTCAAGGGGACAGGACTTTAGTCACTCTACAGTAACATTTATCATCATTTATTGACTATAATCAATTTAAATTGCATTATAAAATGAATAAGGACCACGCATCCCACCAAGGTGGTGTTACCGACGGCCTAATTATTAATTAATATAATGATATCTCAATGATTATTATATATGGTTTTCACAAATATTTTATATAATGAATATTGGCACGATCGAGGATATTTGTATTAAGATAATACATTTATGCGAGACATTGTATTGTATAGCTTTAGAATTGGAAGTGAGACAGTTTAGGAAAGGAGAGAAAGACATGGATGACTATACACTTGGAGAGCTGAGACACATCTTGACGATTGTTTTCCTGTCGGGGTTCGCGGAGAACGTGCTGCGGCCAGTGATGACTGACGTCACCGTCTCCGCGGTTTGCTCCGGCCTAAAAGACTCATGTTCTCTTGCCGTGTACCTCACCGGAGTACAACAAGTGGTAACCACACCTCTACTTCACATTTTGTCTTTGGTTTTACTCTTTAGTCTCTTTCTTCTTTGGGTTGATGACTCTTTCATCTTTTGCTCAGAACAAATGCATCCAAAAAAAGTTCAATGACTTCAAATTTGATAACCTAAAACAACTTAAAATATCAATTCTAGTTTTTTTTTTAAGGAAGAGTTATCTTTTGAGGAATCTAGAGTTTAGTCTTATATACAAAATTTCGACAATTTGCTAATATCATATTTATGTGAAAACTATAATCTATATGAATGTAAACAAGTTCTTAAAGAAAGTGCTCAACCTTAACTCGAGAATTTTATATGTTATCGCATTTGGATTAAATTAAATTGAAGATATATAATTTGAGAGTGACTACAAAAGCAATGGTAAAATGATGTGTCAATAATTAATAACATGATTTTTTAATTCATGGTATATATTATACAAAAATAAATAAAACAAATTTTATTTTTCGTGATTAAATAATTCCATAAATTCATCATATATTGAGTCAAAAATAAATAAATTATTTTTAGCAAATTCATCATATTTATGCATCATAAATAAATATTTTCAAAAATTTTAGTACTGCGTTATAAGTTTTCTCTTCTATAAGGTAGTCCTGAAACGTATTCACTTTTACTTTTCTTTTTATCAGTAGTTTTGGTATAGCTATCAAAGTAATGTTTTATCATTTTCAGTAAAAATTCATAAATTGGATAAATTTCATAATAAAAATTAATTTGCTTACACCGAATCAAATATCTTCCACTTTTTACTATTCTTTCAAAAGAATTAGAATCCTAATGAAATTTAAATTAGAATCTTAATGAAATTTCAAAAGAACTAAAATCTTTTTTTTTTTTTTTTGTTATGGCTGTGAAAATGGCGAAAACAAGACGGTAGGACTTGGGACAATGGTCATGATGCCAGTGATCGGGAATTTTGCTGACAAATATGGAATCAAAGCATTGCTCACTATCCCTATGTGCCTATCTATTCTTCCTCCAGGTTCCTTTTCGTATATCATCATCAACAAGTTTTGTTCTTATTTTTTATACAATTTTAACAAAAGAATTCATAAGTTGAATAGTTCTGATTGAATTAAGTAAATAAAAAATCGATGCAAAGCCAATCATTAGTTTTATATATAATATACTAGAAAGTTGCCCACGTGATGCGTGGGTTATATATGAAATATTAATTTGAATTAAAAATTGAAAACTGCATTAAGATATGTAGTTTATAAGTAACTTTTAATATAAAACATATTTGTGTACATTATAAACAATAAAAGTAAATAAAATATATATTTGAAAAATATGAAACCAAATGAGATCAAAACAAAGTTATACAAATTAGCACATACATAATATAGTAGGCAATTGTAAATTAATGTTAATTTTTTGTGTGTACATTGTTAATATTAAAAGTAAACAAAATTCATATTTCACCTAATATATATGATTTTTTTAGACCTTACTTAGAAAAACTTTTTCAATTTAGAAAATATTTCACCTGAGATATAAGAGTTTTTGATCTATAATTATGTAAACACTAAAAAGATAAAGCAAAAGCCAAATCAACAGATGAAGATTATTTGAAAA